AAAATCAATTTGCTTTTTCAAAAATCTCCTATCAAAATTCCATCAGAGTTTAATTTGATGTTATAAAATTCTTGTTTGTATTGATTGTTTTCAGTTTAGTAAGACTATTTGGGAATTCTGAATATTCTTCTTTTATATGCCATTTCCCCTTCAGGATATGAGCAATCATGGCTCTCCACATCTTTCTATCTTTCATAGCTCTAAGCAATGATTATTCTCTTACTGTCCCTCCCACTCCCTGTTCTGCCATCCATTTATCCAAGTTCGTTAGGTTATATGAGCAGGAGATGCTCAGTCTTCACTTCCCAGTGTCAATAATTCAAAAGCATCGCTACGTCCTTATGGGTGATGAATTATTTTCCACCCTACAATCCCTTTTCTACAGAAGGAATATCACAAGCCTCTCACTGCTCTATTGGTTTTTTTTTTCCATTGAAAGTGTTCGGACAAACAAGGTTCCTTAGTTTCACCAGTTCTAACCTTCATGGTTAAGACCTGCCAGGCCATACGCACATTGTAGTGAAATACCCTCATTCATTTCATATTTCATTTGTGAGATGTAAGTTTCATTTGAGCAGCTTTTGCCCTCAAACTACTGTTTTGTGGAATCAACTCCCAAGAGAATGCTTCCCCAATCATTACAATCTTAACCTATTCAAGTCTAGGGTTAACCATTGTCTTCCCCACATATCCCCATAAACTTACTTACTCTGTAATCCTCTACCTTGAGTACTTCTTGGGTCTTGTACAGGCTGAACATTATTGTACAAAAAAAAAGTTACAATATTTCTGACTGTTCTTATTGCTTTCGTTATGTCTCATGTCAAATTCTGCTACCCCCTCTTTTCTCATCCCTATGAAGTTCATCTCTTTCTACTTTTAAATATGTATCCTTTCCCATTTCCCTTATAACTTCATCGTTTCTCAAATATTCAGTCCATAGTATTCTCAATATCCTTCTGTAGAACAATATCACCAGTACCTTAAGTCTCCCCTTCTTCTGTGAGGAGATTGTTCAGCATTTACTGCCATATAGGAAGTTTGATATTACATAGCCGTTCATCAGTCTTCTCTGTTTCTAACAAAATTTTCCTGCTTCTTAATTCTTTGCTTAACTTTTGGAAGGCATTTTTGTTATTTTAATGCATCTTTGGATTTCTGTGTCATGTTTTCCATTCTATATATTTAATTCTCATACTTGATTGATTTTTGTGTTACCAATGTGTAATTCACATCTTAGTCTGTTCCACTTGCTAACCAACCATATGTTCTGTCTTAGAATTGATGATTAGTCCTTTCTTCCCATTTTCCTTTATTACCTTCTCCTTCTTCTTCTCAACATGGTGTCATCTGTATAAAGTGAGTCCACCAATGGGTACTTAAAAATAAAAAAAATAAAGACTCTAATTTTAGTTTTGTTTGAAAAAATTAGTAAAACTTCATTGCTAAAATTATTTTCAGACTGCTTAGTAGCCTCTGATCAATTAAGTGTCTTTAATAAAGTCTTCTTCTGTAACTTTTCATTGTATATATACAGATGAAAAAATAATAAGACAATTATATATTCTTTGAGCTGAATAGACCCACAAATTGATGATGAAATGTTAATGCCACAAAGGGGAACTAGCCATGTTTTGTAATGTACTGAGATAGCAGAGAAAAAACATGTTAATGATAGAGAAAATGAATTTTTCATTTTTTTCATATGCATGATGATTATTTTTTAATAGCTTTTTGTCTTGGTAACTTGATTCTTTTATGTTTTTAAGGAAAATGGAAACAAAACAGACATTTCTGAACAAGTTGGATGTCATGTATGGCATCCATATCAGCTGAGATAGGATATTTAAGTAAATGATTGGAATTCTTAGGTTACATGTGATAACAGTAATAGTAATATTAGTGTTTTCCTTATGAGGAAACATTTAGCATTCATTGGCCGAGCAGCCAGTACTGCTTTTGACTAAAATTTATAAAATCTTTTTCTTAAAATAGATTTTCAGGAAAGTAGGCTTCTCAAATCCAGTAGCTGTTATCATTCTTTCCAGTACTGATGGATGTTTCCTTCCTAACCTTTTATTTGAAATAGTATGGAATGTCAATATCTTGATTAAGACATTACATTGATATTTTAATAATAAAAAGATATAAAATAAATTTGAGACAAAATAAAATTGACTCTGCCAATTGAGTACAATTAGTTTTGCTTTGCCAGCAAGTGTTTTTAAATAGTTTCCTATCTCTGTGCTGCATTTTTTATAACGCTTGTGTGACATTGCAGTTACACATATTTCTGATCAGATAAAACAGTAGCTTGTTGTGAGCTGAAGGCTTTTCTGCTTTTAAATGACACCTGAGTCAAATGCATTTCATCAGAAACAGAAAGAAAAGATATGGTACTGCTAAAGAATCAGGAAGCAGGCATCAAAATTCTTCCTGTGGATTTCCTGACAAGTAGAAACTCTACTGCACAAGTCTCATCTCTGCTTTCTGTTTAAGATGCTTGTAAAAATATTTTACAAGCATCTCAAAGAGAAAGTCAGCAGTGGTGACTAATAATTTAAACAGATATATATTTTTTATTTTATTTCATTTCATATTTTAAAAGTATTAAAAATGAATTTGAATTAAGATTTTATGACATTTCTTTTACATCCTGTTGTAAAGAATTTTTATTCCAGTATATTCAGGGATTAGATTAATATAGTCAAACAACTTTCTGTTTGATTATATTTAATATACAACTACATAGAAGTTTTAGATCTATTTTTGCTGTGAGATATCAGTATTTTGCTATATTTGTTTCAGGTCTAAAAGAATTTCACAAAATGAAATTAACCTCAGAAATGATGAATTTTAAGAATCATTTTAGAAAAAAATATATAAATTTAATACAACTTTTAAAGTATTTGTTAGAATTGGAAAATTTGAAATTGTCCCCAATAGACAAATATCTAAATTATTTATAATCTAAATCTGGTATTTTTTCCATACTTCATACTAGATTTTATCCTATAGTATAGCATGCAAGGTTTTATTATTTAGTTTGCTTAGTTTTGAATTTGAGCAACATGGAAACTTTAAATATATCTTATATATAAACATGCAAGAAGGTATATAAATGTTTGCAGAACTAACTTTAAACCAATTTAACTCATTACTCCCCATAATCAAGGGAGGACTAGCGTTATCTACTCTTGTCAAATATACATAACAATGTATTGCAACATGCACCTAACACTGCACATTTATACAAAAACTGGCAACAATTTCAATTCTCTCCTAAATTCTTAAACAGTCAATAGTGTTTGTTTTATACTGTTTATTATGATAATGGTAATATTAACTGTTTCCTTATGTGGAAACATTCAGCATTCAATCGAACAACTAGTGCTACTGTTGGTTGAAACTTATCAAAGCTTTCTATTAAAAACAATTTTTCTGGTAAATAAGCTTTTCAAGTTTACTGTTATAGATCTTTCCATTATTGATGTGGAGTTCCATGGGAAACTTTAATAAATGTGTTACATTTCTAATAGCTTCTTGAAAGTTATGGTATGATTTTATTTTATTTTTTTTTAAGACCAGTTCTATTTTTTGACAAAGGTAATGATTCCTCTTCATAATATTTCATTGTAGGTATTATGTGGTAGTGGCTGAAATGTTATTAGCCTTACCTACTTACCAAAATAAATAGTTTAAAGACCAAATATGAAATTACTGATTTTGGGAAATGTGTAGAAAAACGATTGACATGTCCATTCATTTTGAGTAGGACGTTTACTCATAGGAACAGAGTCACAAGGTGTAGTGTTATAATATGCATTACTGCACAGAATTATGATATTCATTATTATTGTATTATTAATTTATTTATTGTATTATTATGTCCCTCATCAGATTGAACATTTTCTTCACTAATCTCTGTTCCAGTGTTTTCCTTACAATATTATTATTAACCAGAAACTATACTTATAATGGGAAAGGATCAAGGACTTTTTAATTATTCCTCATGAGAAATTTCAAAAACATCACTTGTTATATAAATTGTTTTTTTAATTTTTTTTTAAGTAAAATTTTAAGCAAATATTTGGATAAAAATATGAATAAAAATGTGACCATTCTTTGTTATTAACAGAAAGGCTGTTGGGTTGAGCTTGGTTGTACTAATATATGGTTGAACATTGTAGTAAGTCTTGTAACTATTAATGATGACTTTCTGCTGCTGCTGCTGCTGCTGCTAATGATGATGATAAAGAAATTTTAGGCATTTCTACTTCAAATAAAGCTTTAGCTTATAATGGTGTTGATGGGTACATTTTTACTAATAATTTTTCAGGTTAGTTTTTTGGTTCATATCTACATACAACTTTTAATTTTATTCAATATGTAACTGTACATAAATTTTAAATTCACAATGACAGCATTTTATATTTATTGATAAATTAAAACATGATAATTTTCTTTGGTCAAAAGGAAATTAGCCTTGAAGAATCAATATTTAATTAACAAATTAATAAAAATATTAGTATGTACAGATTTAGTAATTAAAATATATTTAATGTTTTTCTTGAGTTGTGTGCCAATTAAAGTAATTAAGTTTTATATTTATTATTAATTTTCAGGATTTTATAACAAAATAGATAATTTTGTAAGAAAGTTTGTTTCAAGACTGTCTTTTCATTTTTCTGGTGTGAAATGTTTGAAGATGAGGCTGGGGACTATATTTCTGTGGTGTGTGATTTTGGGCACCTGGAAAAAAATATTGATGTTAATTAACACTGATGGCCAACAGACAGTAAACATACATATACATTGCATACATTACATACATACATATATACATACATATATATTCTCAAGCAGTGTGTTTCTTCCTCCAAGGGACTTTATCAAGATATTTGCCTTGATAAAGACTATTCCAATGGTTTATTTTATAATAGGAAACTGATAGATTGTTTTATGCCTTTTATATTCTAATTTTACTGTTGTAATCTCAGGTGGCTGCAAAATTTCGGATATTGCTGAAACTCCTCTGAGCTTGGCTGCAAAACTGATGTCTCTGGACAAAGGCGAACTCAGGGAAGCCCTTGTCAGCCGTGTGATGGTACCAACCAAAGGAGGAATGAAAGGGACTGCCATTAAGTAAGTAACAATTTAACATATATATTTTCATTTAAACATCTAAGAGGAATCCATTTTATTCATTTCAAAGACTTATATATACTCTAGTTGTGGGTAGGCTTACAACCATATGTTGAAACACTGGTTCTCGTACAATGACTGAAGTTAAGTAACATCAAGCACCTGGTCTGTACTTAAATGGGTGACCACTTAGGAATACCAGGTGCTGTAAGCTTGGATTTGCAAGTGGTGTATAATGGATAACTGCTCAGAATTGTAACTTGGTACTTCGATTTCCAATTTCAGTTGAGTCTGTTATATTCACTTATACCCAAATACCCTTGGGAAAGGTGTGAATCCACCTCTTTTCCCTCCAGCTATGTGTTAATTAGTAAGACTTGTATTGGTAAACCATTATTATCTCAAAAAAATTCTTACAATTTCAAAACATTTTCTGCTTTTAAATAACCTGCAAAAGGTTGATAAGCCATAAAAAATGAATCAATCTAATTGTGGGTACACATGTGATGTTATTATCATGAGTAAGAACATGAGACTGAATTTCTCCTACATAAAATTGTTTATTTAACTCTGTACTTTGGGGTTTTCTCCAAACATGTATTCTTTTCATGAGGAAGTTCGATACTCATTATCTTTCCCCTCTTCAGTGGAGTGCTTATACATCTACCTGTCATCTCAGTTATGTGCCATGCATGATACATGCTTATGCAGTCATCTATCTTTTGATACATGACCAGCAAGGAAGATTTTTTTCCTGCACTCGGTTGCCATTTCTTTTTGCGGTAGACCAGTTGCCATCCAAGGCTATAGAACCCAGTGTGCTATTTTCCCATAGCTGGAGGGAGAAGAAGAGGATTCATACCTTTCCTGAGGGTATTATCATGTAAGTAAATGCAATGGATTTGACTGGAATTTGAACTTGACTCTCTGATTCCTCAATCCAAGCCACTATCCATTACTCTAGCATGCCTCCTGTTATCTAGTTGCCACAAATGTACATATCATAAACACAGTTGAATTGACTACCTGTTTAAATGTTAGGGGCAGCCACTAACAACTTGTGAAGCATGAATCTGCATCTGGTATCTATGAGTCCACATTCCAGGTTGACCTGACATCTCTTGTGTAGCACTGAGCACAAAGTCTATCAATTGTAGCTCAACATTCAACACTAAAAATTGTTGAGAGGTTAGTTTTCATCTACTACTTCACCCAACATGTTTCTCTTTTTGATTACTTAAAGGTAATAGTTTGGTGGCTATCATGTCTATAACCTATGTTCTTTACTCTCTGATTATATTTATAACACCAACTTCTTAAGATATTGTCTTGATGGACAGTTTCTTGTTTTTTAATTTTCTCAACTCTCTTTTCATGGCATTTTAATTTTAAAAGCCGGTTTTATTTTTGTTGTCACAATATTCGAGCCAATTCATTCTTTGACCTTCCTCAGATGTCATATGGAAATAAAAAAACATTTCTTTTTTTTCAGAAAATGTTGAACAGAAAATAAATGCTGCAAGATACAGCAATCTCATTTCCAGTAACACAATTTATCCCATTCCCAACAACCTGTGTAATGTCAGTGATTCCATGTATTATATCTGCTGCCAACATTCTTCAGTTCTTTCTTTCTCTATGTAAAAAAATCCATACCACACTGAATTCATTTCAACATATCTTGTTTATTATTTGGTTCTTATTCCAACGAGACCGTTACTTACCAGGATTTTCTATATTCCTCAAGTTTTACTTTGGTTTCTCATTTAGATTCTTTTCCAGTTTTGCATGAATATGTTGGCTGGCAGTATCAATGCATTATTTTGTCACTCAATTCTCTTGAGTGACCAAATTTAGTAAGGCAGTTGCAAAAATCCTCATGTTGTTAGAAACCCATTCTGCTCTTAGTTGCAGTAGGATGAATTCAGCTGCTCTACTTTTTAAATATAACAGGTTTAGGGAACAATGGTTCTCTACTCAAAGTTTATAACAAAGTAGATCCTAAGATAACTTTGTAGATTTTAGAAAAGATTGAAAAGTTGAGACCCCATGGAAAAAAATAAAAAGATTTGATTAACAAGAATATGTCAGATAAGCATGTATTTCAGCATGGTAGAATTAGAATTGGACATCCATGGATAAAAATATATTGTGCAAGTTACTGAAAATGACTTGTGCTTATGTTGCTCACATTTCTGGGAATGAGCTGAACCAGTTGATATATTTACGAACATTTCTTTCTGTTCACCATTTACTGATGAAATTGTTCCTCTATTTGTTATGTTCTGTGTTATCTCTGGGTCCTCACACTACTACATAAAATGGTATCAACGAAAAAGGACAATTTCTTTTCTTATTTGTTTTTATTAGAAGAGGGGGCAGACATGGCAGTCTGGATTCTAAGAGGTAGCAGGAGGAATGACATCACAGGAACACATGTCTCACATTAGTTCAGCATCCCTCTTTGGGTGGTCTTAGTCAATCTCTCAACCTGAATGTGGCAAGTGTATTGATGCTTCAAAATTCTTCTAGTCCGCTGTTGAATTTGCGTTGTTTTGGACTTATATCAAAAACTCAGCCAAAAGCAAAATCACTGTCAGAATATCATGCCCATGAGGCACTCCAATGATATTGCCAGAATATTTCAGATTATAAAAAACTGAACTGACTGATTATCACACCAGTCTCATATTTAGCAGCCTTGACTAAAATTCTTAATCTAGACAAGAAGTCTTTGTCAAATGAATACATAACTCTTATATTGTAGAAGATAAATAAATGTTTCCTTAATGTATATAACTTTTTTTAATCTTTAATTTTGGTCCATATTTATTGAATGTATGTTTTCTTGCCCAAAAGCTTGGGAATGTTATCAATAAAAAAAATATATTTTTTTAATATTTTTCACAAATTATTGTACTTTTTCAAACCTGACACATAATAGACGTTTTTTTCCTTGGGTTTATATTATTTTGCTAACTGAAGTGCTAATGCCTACTAGTTAGAGGTCTAGAAGTAGTTCTCAGCTGGTTATAACAGCAATAAACAGATTTCTTAGCACTAAGGGTACCATCTTTGAGTTAAAGGTACCATTTCAGGACTAAGGGTATCATCAAGCAATTTATGTAAAACTGCTGAATATTGATCCTAAAAATTCCAAGAATTTTTGTGAAAAATCATTGTTTTATAGAAAGATAAGTAGTTTATGTGCAGTCCATAGCTAAAGTGTCCCCCCTGGTGCTAATTAAAAGAGAAGGTTAAATAAATCACCTGCTTATTGAAACCAGAGTATGAAAGTTAGTACCATTACTGAAGGCATGAATGATCTTTTTCATTTTACCATTGCTCAGTTGGGAAAACATTGTGGAGCTGACACAAAATGATTTTAACTTCTTCTATTTCTCACTGAATAACTCTTTGAGTTATTCAGTGATTCTTATGACAAATGGCATCTTATCTGAAAACCTGGAAAAAAGAAACTCAATTAGTTTAATGGTTTTTTAGATATTAAACATTTTGTGGGATGGACAATTATCCCATGCTGTTACACCTGGTATATTATTAAGTTTAGGTAACTAAGGAATCCTTACTAATTAAATTATTAGTAAAAGTAAAGCATAATATTATTCATTATTGTTAATGAAATTTATTTTACAAAGGGGAAACAAATGCAGTGTATAACTGCCATATATACTCAAGTCTAGTGTGAGTTTTTATGATCAGTTTTTTTTTTATGCAAAGATGTCAGGGGACACATTATACATGGGTAATTTTTTGGGAAGAGGTTAAAAATCAGATATAAACAAAATCAAGAATACAGTATGTAAATTTTTGTATCAGATATTTTACAGTAAGTGTTTTTTCCTCACCATTTTGAGGTAGCTTTGTACAAAAAAGAATGAAGACCATTTATTTGCTATAAAATATGACCAACATGATACACAGTATTGCAATATTTGACTACAGTACGCCAACTAGTACACACAAGCTATATGAAAAAATTGGGTCACATTATAGATGTAGATTTATACATGAGTATATATGGTAAATGTCTTTTTTTACACTTATTGCTGTCAGTGAAAACTTTGTTATTCATGTATGCCAAGGTTCTGGTCATGTATAGTAACTCCAAGAATAGTAATTAGTACCTGCCCACACATTAGGGGATAATAGTTATTTATCCTAAATGTAGGATAAACAGATACTTACTGTTATTAATTTAAGTAAATTTTTGTTCTTTAAAAATGTATATATCTGTTTGTAAATTATTTAAAAAAAAATCAATTGTAAAAAAATATGTTTCTGTATGTGGAACAACTAGGTCCAAACAACTCTGTAAAAAATTCTGGTCTTCTTCACAAGTAAGAAATTAAAAAAGAAAATTGTTGTTATCAATGATGGAAGCACAATTTCAAACTTGACATTTGTAAATAAGAACTAGTTCCAGATAATTCTGTAAAAAGTTGAAGATTGATTTGATACTGTATTTATATTATGAACAGGACCTCAATAAAGGCCAACATTTTTTTTTATTCTAATAAATGTCATATCTTGAGGAAGGTCTAATCAATGCTAATTTACAAAAAATTTTTCCCTTCAATCTTTCCCCCTATTTTTTACATGTGGACCATTCAATTTAAGTAGCGCAGAACAATAAATAAAGATAAATCCATGTAAGAAAAGTGGCAGAACTTCCAACTCCTTTCCTTTTGGGGAACCAAAGTTTTTAATATAACAACTTTGGGTCGAATTATTATGTTTCAGAAATTTGGAGGCTGGACATGAATTGTTTTTTTGCCAGCAAACAACCTCTTCTTAGTTAAACATATAAATACGTGCCTGGGTTCAAATAAAATTTCTCATCATGCTAGGAGTTATTTTTTGTTCCTCTGTCAAATTTGTTTATCCACTGTCTAGTGTGTCAGTTTATTGCAAATCTAAGTTGACCTTGTGAAGGTTAGAGCTGGACAAACCAGATTTTCTGATCTCTTTTCAAATGGCAAAAGATTTAATTAACAGATTTAATTAACAAAAAAAAAACAACATGTCAGGTAGAAAGAAATATTTTTTTCCTTTTTTTACTTTTTAAATATTTCAGTTACAAACTTAGAGAGTAAACATTTACTTTATTTAATAATTTAATTCCTAATGAAACTCTAGTTCTGGGTATGATGATAAACTACATCTGGCAGCATGTCCTCTGATCAGGAGATTGTAGATTTTCAGGAGCATGGAACCACCTCTTAACTGCTGTTGTTCCCAGGTCCACTCTGAACCAGACTGGTAGCACCTTTTAGGGTCCCAGCGATGGGCAAATAGTGAACCCCCATCAAACACTATGAAAGTATAAAAATACCAGTAATACATTATCATATAAAAAAACATTACCAATGATACATATTTATGGTACAATTACCAACAATAAATTTTATAGCAAAATGACTAACAATACATTTTATCTGTAGTTTGAAGACATAAAACTGTGTTCAAAATATTTAGATTCTGGCATTAAATAATCTGTAGAGGTTGATATGCCACTAATCAAAATCAAACTTAATGAAACTCAACAGTTGCTTCCCTGATTCTCTAAAAAATGACAATTTTACAAAATTTTATTTGGGCAAAGCAACATGGACATCTACAGGGTGTGATGGGTAAATTGTTGCCATTTTATATTTTTAATTTCGCACATGTGCATTGTTTGTTTTTGATTTTGTTGACCACACAGTATAGTAACACCAGTTGGGCACCATATATGAGAAGAAGAACACTATGATGCAAATTCACTCAACCAGAAATTTGGAAACGGCATGCTGTACTGCTTGGCATTCATGCCAGAAGCTCCAATATGAACATTTCAGAGTGTTTGGGTGTCAATATAAGTACATTGCAGAGGATTCAGAAAGAGTTGGTCAAGTCTAATGGGGATTACTAAAGTACGGTAGCTCGGAAAAACCACTCTGATCATTCTGATAGGAACTCCTGGATTTTTTGGTGACTCATCACAGAAACCTACATCAAGTGTCTTGAGGAGGTAGTACTTCCCAGGGTCATGATGGTGGCTACTGGAAGACCCTATGTTTGTCAACAGGACTATGCACCATTCCACACAAGCAAGAGAACTCAGCCATGGCTTTCTGACAATTCCTGTGACCACATCACCCCTTACATCTGGCCACCTAACTCCCCAGACTGCAATCCCCTTGATTATTGTGTGTGGGGAGCAGTTGAGCGAGAGACCAACAAAACTCCTTGTAACACCAAAGATGAACTGAAGGCAAGTATTATGGCAGCATTCACTAACTTAAACAAGGAGAATGTGCAGAAGTGTTGCAGGAGATTCCAAAGTCTGGAGGCTGTGCTTGAAGTCAACAGCAATTTTATTGAATAAATTTACTCTTTAGTATTTCAAGATATTTTTGTGTCATTTTGCTAAACAAAACATATCTGTTAAAATGAGATTTTAGTTTCATTTTTGTGTAATTTAGATGACAATTTATCCATCACACACTGTACACATGTTTAACTGGCTAACCTCTCAGATGGTAATATTAGCTGTTTCCTTATAAGGAAACATTTGGAATTCATTGATCAAGCAGGTAGTGCTGCTGTCAGTTGAAATTTATTAAATCTTTCTCTTAAAACAATTTTTTCCACAAAATAGGTTTCTCAAGTACAGTAGCTATTCCAGTATTGATTGGGGTTTCCTTCCTAACCATTTATTTAAATTTTGATGTAGATCCTGTGTGCATTTTGTTCTTCAAGTTGCTGTGGCTTCCAAGGCAGTGTTATTTTTGTTACCTCCCATCTCTTTCCCCTCACAGCCTATTACCCCCATACTTGCTGGGAGAGCAATTGGTTTGGTGTTCCTCCATCAACCTCAATACACTCTTGTTGTACATTACAATACATAACTAAGAGCTAAAAAGGACAGGAAGTTATGGAGAGCCACGATCACACATACCTTGAAGGGAAATTATACATAGAAGCTTGTATAAATGGTTGGCAGAACAGGGATTAGGAGAGATTGCAAAAAGACAAACCTTACTAAGAGCCACAAAATATAAGAAGTTTTGGAAAGTCACGATTGCACATGGCATATAGAAGACTGCAGGTGGAAACAGAAATCATAATTTCACATAATTTAATCTTTTGAAATTGTTATCAGTTTATACAATGAAAACTTTGACTGATTAAAGAATCAAGCCCACTTCAGGCTTTTATCTTTTGAGATTAATAGGTCAAGAATTATCCAAAGAAAATTCATGATTCTCAACAATAATATTGTAAAAGAAAATAGTATGAAGAGGGTTAAGTCTACTGGAAATACCTCTTCACTTGGTAAGGAAGGGCATGTGCAACAGGTGTCATCTGACCATCATCCAGTGATTGTTAGCAAAACTATAGAAAACAATGCATAAAACAAGTAATACTCCTTGAAATTTGATTATACCATTGTTTTCCCTTTTATATTACATATGATATTTGACTGGAATTGTAACTAGGATTTTTAATTTCCATTTCCAACCTATTATCCTTTACACTATCCAAGCTTGCAGTAAGAAAGAGAAAGAAAGAAGGGAAGATAGAAAAGATGATAACACTGTCATTAACATGTTTCAGTGAAATGGAAAAAGTTGGCAATTTCAAATCTTTTCATTTGTACCCCCTTTTTTAAAATAACAAGCAGCATTCATATAATTGTTATTACTATATTTTGCTAAAGTTGTTAAGCTCAAATATTTAACAATGTGATAGGGGAATTTCTACAGATAGTTTATTATCATAGAACTCACCTTGAGCTTGTTCAATCATTAGCTTAAGAATTAAGATTCATCAAAAATTCCAAATAGGAAAACTGTGAAATTTTTATGGATATTTCTAGTAAACTTTGTAAGCAAACAGGTTTTGTTTAATTTAATAATGACTGAAGTTGTACATACACTGATGAGCCCAAAATATTATTGCCACTTACCTGATTAAGTGATTGTTTTTAACCAATCAGTCATACACTCTACAAGACTTTAAATGTTTTCTTCTGAGATTTGGTGATTGATTTATTTTCTATAGCTTTATTATGTTATTTAAAGCCAGAAAATATTTGTAGATTGTAAGAATTTTTTTGAGATAATTATGGTTTAGTGATACAAGTCTAATTAACTGGGTGGGGTTGGGGGGTAGAGGTGAATTCCTACCTTTTCTAAGGGTATTTGCGTGTAAGTGAGTATAACAAATCCAACAAGAATTGGAACTCGGACCTCCAATTAAAAATTCCAAGCCATTATCCCATATATCCAAGCTTACAGCACCTGGTATTCCCAAGTGGTCACCCATTTAGGTACTGACCACGCTCAATATTGCTTAACTTTGATGATCATACAGTAACTGGTGTTTCAATATGATGTGGCTGTAAGCATATTATAGGCAATATTGCCAGAATATTTCAGATTATAAAAAACTGAAGTGACTGTTCATCACACTAGTCACATATTTAGCAACTGTGACTAAAATTCTTAATCTAGAAAGGAAGACTTTGACAAATGAATACATAACTCTTATATTGTAAAAGATAAATTTTTCCTTAGTGTAACATTTTTTTAATGTGATGTGGTTGTAAGCCCTGGGATTTGGTACCAGAATGTTAACAAAAGGTCCTTTTAATTGCTCCAAGTTACATGGCAGAGGTTCTGAAAAAGCTAACTTCTTCATCTAACGCATAAATGTTTAATGGGCTTTAGAACTGGGGAGTTTGGTAACCAAGGTAACAAAATAAAGTCTCTTTCATGGATTGATGATCATGAATGTCATCTTTTTCACGTGATTTCTTCTACCTCTTTTTATTTATTTATTTATTTTTTTTTGCAGAGTCCCTTTGAAAGTCTATGAAGCCTCAAATGCTCGTGATGCTCTGGCAAAAGCAGTTTACTCACGTCTCTTTGATTACATTGTTGATCGTGTGAACCAAGCCATTCCTTTCAGTTCATCCTGCAGCTATATTGGTGTCCTTGATATTGCTGGGTTTGGTAAGAAATATTGACTAATTTTCATAAAAATAAAGCTTCCTTTGTGCCATCTTAAAAAATGTCTAGCATTCTGACAGTGCCATCACATATTATGATTCTGCTTGTCCCTTCATTATTAAATTATCTCCTGTGTTATACTCTGCCATTACCTTTTTTTTTCTACTAATATTCACCCAATACATGGCCCAAGAGTCACTCAAGGTAGATGTTTAATGTGTGGAGTTATGTTAGTGTAGGAAAGGACAAGTGTTAGGTGTATAGAGCTGAAGTAGACTTTAAAAGGAACTGGAAACCCAATCCTAAGCAGGGATCAAGGGATAAACCTTTATTATAGTTTAAATGACTGGAGAAAAGTATAAACTGGATGATAGGCTAACCTATTTAAATAATGGACCATTGCATTTTACAAGCAAGGAAATATATATCAGAGATGCAGTTCAGTTTTAATGAGAAAAAGAAAGCATATATAATAATAATAATAATAATAATAATAATAATAATAATAACAACGACAACAACAATAAGGCAGAAAGAAAGAAGATGGAGGTGACAACATTCTCATCTGCTTAACATTTGCTTCAGTGAAATGGAAAAACCTTCTCAAGTTTGAGAAAACAAAGAAAAGATTGCTAAATTTCAGTTCCCTCCAGTCTTCTCTTCATCTTTAAGGAAATTGTCCTGGATTCACTGCCATAGAGGAGGATTGACATTACATAGCAATTTACTAAATTGCTATGTAATGTCAATCCTCCTCTATGGCAGTGAATGCAGGACAATTTCCTTAAAGATGAAGAGAAGACTGGAGGGAACTGAAAGGAGGTTCTACAGAAGGATGCAGAGAATACCATGGATGGAACATGTAAGTAATGAGGAAGTCTTAAGGAAAATGGAAAGAAAAAGGACACTTACAGTTAAAATCAGTTGAAATTTCTATGACATAATGAAGAATGAGAGCTTGGAGAATTTGATACTCACAGGACATAGTGAAGGCAAAAGGAAAGAGAGAAGTAGCAGGTTATGTATTTGAGTTTATGTGAATGGATGGCAGGACATAGAGTGGGACAGATGTTAAAAAGACAAACATTACTAAGTTCTACAATAGATAGGAAATTGTGGACAACCATGATCACCTACATCTTGAAGAAAACTGATAAATACAAGAAGAATACATCTTTAAATGGTAATGGTAGTATTAGCTGTTTCCTTATAAGGAAACATTCAGCATTCACTGACTGAGCAGGTAGTACTTCGGTGAGTTGAAATTTATAAAATCATTCTCTTAAAACAATTTTTCAGGTTTATCAAGTCCAGTCGCTGTTAACACTGTTGCCAGTATTGACAGGCGTTTCCTTCTTTGCCTCTTGTTTTGGCTAGTGTGGAACATTAACATCTTGATTATGTCATTATTCTTTCCTTGAGTTACACATGCTATCCATTTTAGTTCTTGCTGCTGTTGGAAGTTTTCAATTGATGTTGTTTCTGCTATCTGGTTTGTTTATGATTCTGTAACACCAGTCTACAAGGTTCTAGGAAGGATTGTCCTTGCTAAGGCCTAACACTTCACTTGCTTGAAGCCATTGATCGAATAAAGTGTTTGAATACACACCTGACAGTTTGGTGCCATGCATGACATCTGTATAAAAGTCTTGATCTGATGAGGCTATTTAAGAACATAACTTGAGTTTTTAGGTTAATGTTTTGGTTTTGTAGCAACTTGTAGTTTTGGGTGAAACTACACCTAGCACAGCCTATTCTATTGTGAATTTGTATAAATGGATGGTTAGGATGAGAGGAATAGTGAAATGATAAACATTTCTAAGCTACAAAGTTAGGAAGTTGTGGAGAGTCATAATCGTCCATGTCCTGATGGAACATAGCACATAGAAGTAAATATTTATTCTAATTACACGATGGTCACAAAGAATATGGATCATTCTCCTAGGCAAAATTCTGTTCTTGAAGGGAATCAAGGACAAGAAAGACAGAAAAATTTGTGAATTGTGAGACAAGAAAAACAATGAAAAGTCTGCCAATTGCTCAACAAGAAAGACAGTTTATTTTTCTTTGTTAAAAAGTGAGAAGTGTTAGAGAAGAAACTGTTAGTATAGAACTTACATCTAGCAGCCATTTCAACTGCAAAATGATAAGACCTTGCTTGCCAATCTAGTACTGTGTTTAAATTCATAAAGTTTTGGTACCATACAGGAAAGTTCATCAGAACAATTACCACAAAAGTATTTATAGAAATGGCACAGAAAAGCTGTTATTTATATTAGTAATGTTTCTGCTGATAGTTATTTTTCATTGTTTTTGTATTGAAAGAATTTGTTAAACTTCAATCAGAAGTTATCAGGAAAAAATCTGTTTCCAGAGGAAAGCATAAAATGTTTGTAATCTCAACTTATAGCTTTCTTTTAAGAAGTGAATATACAGTAAATAATTTAAAAAATATTAACATTTTCATAGAATTTTCATAGAATTTTAGGCCCATCAATATTAGTTATGATCTTATTTTCTGAACTGTTCTTAGTAACCATTGTTGTCATCTGACATTTCACATTACAACAAATTGGTTGAGTGTAGCAGAAAAAAGATGTTTTGGGAATTACCGCAATAATTCAAAATACTCTCGGCTGTCTAATAATTTTAGTAGAAAGTTAGAATTAAATATTTTTTTTATACTTTACTCTTTTGTTTTTTACTTTTATCATTTTATGATACAAATTTTATCTGAAATTTATTCTTTCTCAACATTTTGCACTTATTTTTACTGTTGACAAATTCTTTCTTTTGATTTAAGCATTTGTTTTTTTAATAAAATTTTTAAAACCTTTATTCATTGCAGAATATTTCCAAGTTAACAGCTTTGAACAATTTTGTATCAATTACTGCAATGAAAAACTTCAACAATTCTTTAATGAACGAATCCTAAAGGAGGTAAGTTTTTATTTGGCTGTTATTACACCTGCATTTTGAATTAATTGTTAGAATAACTCATGGTACATCAAGAAACACTACTTCCATTAACTGATCTGCTCATAAAAAAAACAAAAAAAAAAACACAGGAAAAATCTTTTTTTTAAACTATTATTGTAGACTAGTGTTTGTTAGACTTTCCTCTCTGTATGACAATGGTCAGAATCAAGATATTATTTGTTATCATTTTAGAAGGGGATTTCCTATTCATAATACAACTGACTGGTCCTTGATTTTGTAAAGAGTTATCTGTCCTTTGTTCTTATTTAAAAATATCAAGTTTGGAACAGTGATAACTGCTTACAACTATTGTCACTTTTTTCCCAATTTGTGTGGTAATAAAAACAAGCCCCTCCTATCTCTCCTCTTGCTTGTATCCATCCTCTATACTAAAATAAAGGTTTTCAGCACTAAAGCTGTTATATCTTGTGCAAGATATAATAAACAAAGTAATACGAGTGTTGGGTTGAAACCCAACACTCGTATTACTTTGTTTATAATAGCTTTATAATCGGATGTAGGTGTGTCAAATACAGAGACAGAGTCGGGAGTATGCTAACCTCAATAGGTGTTAACAAACGAAGACTTGACAACTGTCCGCTGTGGTCGTACTTAATCGGCAACCAGTCCGTCCATTATCATGAATGGGGAAGTTGGGTTATATCATCACAACACCTCCCCCCGAAGCTGAAATTCTCCCTTTTGAAAATTTCTGCTTCTAATGTCGTCTTCTTTTTGGATCCGGACTAAAAACGCTCCACTGGTTTTCTTTCCGTGTGCTCCTTCTTTTAGTCGTCACAATTAGATCCTTTTTGGCGAAGATAATTTCCGCTTTTCAGCCCGTAAGGCTGGTCCATGAGATACAGGTTCAAATATACTATTGGGTAGTGCCATGCTAAAAGCATCGCATGACACTTCCATCGGAATTTCTTCTTCGCTTTTTTCACTTTCTTCACCATATCGTGGTCTAATCTGATTGATGTGTCTTTTTTACACGTAAATTTTTTTACTTTTAATCATGTAGACCACTTTACCAATCCTTTTCTGGATTATGCCATCCATCCAATAGCTTTTTCCACTTTTAAAATTTAAAAAAAAACTTTGTCTCCTGAAGTGTATTTTTTTATGTTGACTTTTTCCTCTTTCTTAGCAACTTTTTTGTTTTGATAGGGTAACAATCTATCGAAAATTGATCTAATTTTCCTTGCGAACATAATTTCTGCCGGTGACATTTTCGCATCGTTGTTCTCATTAGGAGTTACCCTATAGATTGCTAAGAACTTCTGAATAGTTCTTTCTTCTGTGTCCATACCTTTATTTTTACGTAAAGCACGTTTAAAGGTGTCAACAAATTTCTCGGCTTGACCGTTCGACCTGGGATGACACACTGGTGTAGTTATGTGTTCAATGTCTAAGGCAGTACAGAAATCCTTAAACTCCATACTTGTGAACACCGTACCATTGTCACTAACCAATGTCCTGGGAACCCCGAAACGACTGAAAATTTCATCCAATGCACTGATGGTGTTCCTAGATGTAGGATGCTTGCACTTGACTACCTCAGGCCATTTCGATAAAGAGTCCAGCAATATCAAATAATAGTACCCATTAATTGGTCCAGTATAGTCTATATGTAGACGTGCCCACGGCAAATCCGTTTTCAGCCAAGGATTCATTTTGACCGGAGGTGCCCTTGCAGCCAATTGACAACCTCTACATAGTCTTACAAATCCTTCAATATCCTTGTCCATTCCTGGCCAGTATACGTAACCACGCATGAGTGATTTCATCCGAGACATTCCAGGATGACCGGTATGAAATTCTTTCAGCATATCTGTACGTAGAGATTGAGGTATAACAATTCTATCTGCGTACATCAACGTGTTGTCGCAAATTGAAAAAGGTGAAATCTGAGTTCCCTTTTTCTGTCTTTTGTTCCATCTCGTCTGGTTCCTTAATTTCACAATATAGTGATCTTTTTCCGCTTCTTTTTTTATTTGGTTTAAAGTTACCGGCAATTCCCTGATTGTATTCAACAAGAGACCTGATATTTCTTTTTCCTCAGTTAATACTGCTATAACCATCTCTTCTATTTTTCTTCATTTTTTGGAATCAGCCTTGACAATCCATCCGCATGCCTATGTTCTTTAGATTTGATGTATTCCATCCTAAAATGGTAATTAAGCAGGGTTACACCCCATCGCCGTAAGCGATTTGCTGTATGCGTAGGAATGCTTTTTTTACCTCTAAATATTGTAAGTAACGGTTTATGGTCCGTTTGAAGTACAAATGATCTACCATGTAAAAAAGCGATGGTATTTTTTAACCCCGAACACAATCGACAAAAGCCTCTTTCTCGACCTGGCTATAATTTTTTTCAGCCGGAAGAAGAGTCCTCGACGCGTGCGCGATCGGTTTAGTAGTGCCATCTTCATATTTGTGTAGCAGTGCAGCACCCACTCCGCACAAACTTGCGTCAGTTGCCAGAATGATCTCTTTCTCAGGATCATAATGTGCTAAGGCGAGATCTGAGAGTAGGCATTTTTTTATTTTCTGAAAAGCCGTCTTGCAATCTTTTGACCAAAACCATTTCTTGTCTTTTTTCAACAATTCGTTAAGGGGGGCTCTTAAATCATACATTTTAGGTATGTAGATTGCATAATATTGTGCCAACCCCAGAAACGATTGTATTTTCAAGAACTGTGTCGGGTGCAGGCATGTTCTTAATTGCATCGGCTCTCTGTGGGTCTGGTTTCCTGCCTTCACTGTCTATTACCTGTCCGAGGTATGTAATTCTTTCCATGAAGAATTTACACTTCTTGTGGCTTAATTTAAAGCCAAAATCTTCTAGTCTTTTGAATATCGCTCTGATGTGCGTTTTATGTTCTTGAACATTCTTACTTTTGACTAGAATGTCATCTAAATAGGCGGTACCAAACTCAAGGCCTGCCAGCATAGTGTCCATCACCTGTTGAAACAAAGCTGGGGTGATCTTTAAGCCGAAAGGAAGCCTATTTAGCTTATGAATACTTTTATGTGTATTTATACACAAATATTTTGAGCATTTGTCACTCACTTTAATCTGCAAGTATGCGTCAGACAGGTCGATTTTTGAAAAAATCTTCCCACCGTTCAATTTTGAAAAAATATCTTCTGGTGAAGGTAGTGGATAACTGTGATTTTTAAGGCAATCATTTAACCCTGTTGAAAAATCTGCGCACACTCTTATTCTTCCGTTTTTCTTCTTAACATAAACTGTGGGCGAGGCCCAATCCGCATGGTCAACCTTAGATATCACTCCCATTTTTTCATGCCTTTCCTATTCCTTATTAATTGTCTCTAAGGAGGAAAAAGGAACGTTTCTATTAGGTTTAAAAATTGGTTTCACATTTTCCTTGAGTTCAAATTTGACTTCCGTCTTAGTACATAAACCCAATCCCTCAGAAAAAACTCTGGGATATTCTTCTTTTAATTCATTCATGAATTTTTCATTTTTAATACTTTTTTGTTTTTCTGCACTGTTTATTATGTTGCAAAATGAGTTAATCGGGCGTTCAAACAAATCAAAGAGTATCCAGTCTATTCCAAAAAGACATGAATTAATCCTTTGGATTACATACACTTTCGTTTTTGCAGTCTTGCCACATAACGAAATATCGCACTTTAATTCTCCCTTAAAGTTTAATTTCTTTCCTGAAACCCCTCTAGCGGTTTTTTTGGTTTCAGATAATTTAGGTCTTCCAATATTTTTCCATGTTTGTTCATCAATGATGCTTATGTCTGAACCAGAATCCAATAGGAAAGTAATTGTATGATTATTTATACGTACATCTACGTACTTTCTATTTTTACCATTCTGAATTCCTTTTTCTGATAATACCAGGCTTACATCTTGTAATTTCCTTTTCTTGCGGCAAACCGAATATTTATGCCCTTTATTTCCGCACGATTGACAGAATTTATTTTTGTACCAACACACGTCTTTGGTACGATTTTTATTTCCGCACAATTGGCAGAATTTATTTTTGTACCAACACGTGTCTTTGGTATGGTTATTTTTTCCACACGTCTCACATTTTTCTATCTTTTTGGCTTTTGGAGTTTTTTGAGTTTTTACGTGTCGAACATTAGCAACACTTTTTTCCTCAATTTGTGTATTATCCCTTTTTAGATTTATGAGACGTTGGCACTCTTCGGTCACCCTTTGTAATGTTATTTTCGAGTCTTGCTCAACCATTATTAATATTCTCGACCTAATTTCCTTATATTTAGGATCAGTTAGTCCTTGAAGAAAAATTAGGCACTTGAATACATATTTGGTTATTTCTTCTAACTTAAAATGTTCAACCAGAGAGTTCACTGTTCCCGCGTATGTCACAAAATCCTCGTTATCTGCTTTAACGATGTTTAGGCATCTGTATCGCGTGTGGAACAGACTATTCCTTTCGTCAAATATTTTTGACAGAATACTTATAGTTTCTTCAAACGAAACTTCTTCTGGCTTTCTGGGCAATATCAAGTTTGAGTACTTCCTATTCTTGTTTGTCCCTAGTTTCTGGACTAATAATGTTACTCGTTCCTCATCCGACCAATGTTGACATCTCTTGGTAAATATAGTTTCGAAACGTTTAAAGTATGCTGGAAATGTAATGCCCGAATCAGGTTCATAAATAAATTCGGATAATGAATTTGCTATTCCTTCGGCAGAAAAAACAGCATTTTTTCTTTCTCCAGTCGCCTGTTTCAGAATTTTTTCGAGACTTTTTTGCTGTTGCAGTATTTGTTGTTGTAAGTCTTGATCCTGTTGTTGTTGCTGTTGTTGTAACTCTTGATGCTGTTGTTGTTGCTGTTGCAAGCTTGTACACAGCATTTTAGTCATTTCGACTAATTGCTCCACCCTGACTTTATTTAGAATTCGAAAAAAAAAAAATTTTTTTTTTTATTAGACCGGCTCGTATTTGAATCGCGGTTCAATATATATTTTTCAAATCACAATTTAACAGTAAAAATTTTCTTACTTTTCAAAAAGTTTCCTTTTGACTTGTGACTCCGCTTTCGAAATCCTAATCGGCGTCAACTGATATCTTTGACTTGCGAATCTGCTTTCGAAATCCGTTCAGCGTAATCTGATATATATATATATTTTTTTTTTTTTCGGGTAAGTACGTTGCACAATCCTCGCCGCCAGCTGTTATATCTCATGCAAGATATAATAAACAAAGTAACACGAGTGTTGGGTTTCAATAATAGCTTTATAATCGGATGTAGGTGTGTCAAATAGAGAGACAGAGTCGGGAGTATGCTAACCTCAATAGATGTTAACAAACGAAGACTTCTTGACTGTCCGCTGTGGTCGTACTTAATCAGCAACCAGTCTGTCCATTATCATCACAACAAAAGCTGAATTAAGTCTAATAAAACTTCATAATCTTCGACTTAATATATTACAGTATGCAGTTATCAATGACATAAACAGTTCAAATTTGATATTCATAAATAAAAACAAAGTACAGGTAACTTTTTATGAAGTTGGGGATCAATATAACGCTAAAATGATTTGAAAATATTAATATTCTTTGATTCTTGATAAATGGCATGGGTAGATGAAGGTCAAATAGGTGGTAATCTACAAAAATAGTTTTAAAAGATTTTCCTGTTTCTTTTTACGAGAAATTATTTCTAAATATTTTCCCAGTTTTTTTATGAATGGACCAATTAACTTAAATACTGAAGTCTTTTTGATTCACTTTCTGGGACAGTTTCTGAAAGGCTTCTTCATTGTAATATCTCTAAAACAAAAGGTGGTTTGAAAATCGGTTTCATATTTTTGGTCAGAAATCAGCCCATTCCTTTGAGTTGGAAATTGGGCACATCGTTTGGCTAATTGGCCCCCATCCTCTGGGTCAGAAATTGGCCTCCATCCTTTGGATTGGAAATAAAACTCCATTCTTTGGGTTGGAAATTGACTCCTATCATTTGGGTTGGAAATTTGTGCCACCTTTTGGGTTAAAAATTGGCCCCATCCCTTCAGTCAGAAATTCTTCAGAGAGTAGGAATTTTATTTTCCACCCCACAGTGTATTTCTGTGTGTGTGTGTGTGTGTGTGTGTGTGTGTGTGTGTGTGCCAAAAATTGAAAGGCAGTATTATACTCAAAACAATTCTTATCTGTACATTCCCAAACTTAATTTTAAATGTGAAATGCTCTTTTTGGAATCAAGTCCTTAAAAGAGATTAGAACAAATCCTGCAATACATTTATCCCTTTAATTAATCTTTACAATTACAAAATTCATTTTTGTAATTGTTTATTTTCTATCTTCTTTCATTCATTTGTATTGAGTCTCTTTTTTATTCTAGGAACAAATGCTGTACGAGAAAGAAGGTCTCAATGTGAAGAAAATTGATTACACAGACAACCAAGATTGCATTGGTATGTTGAAACCATTCTCTCCTTAATCACAAGGGCTACAATTTGACTTAGCATTTTTTTGATTTCTTACTTCTTTCTTTTTGCTTCTTTCATGTTGGAATATTCACAAAGAATATTCTTTGGCTTGCACACTGTTAACAACATGGTTTTTATGGTTCTCTGAAATTCCCCTAATGTTAAATTCTGCTATAAGTCTCAGGTTGTTAATAGTGTAGACAATTCACTGTTGAAGAGTCAGACCAGCATCAACTAGCTTTGTTGTAAAGTATTTACAAAGAAAAAATTTGGTCAAAGAAATTATGGAAATATCTAAAAAGGAGTAAATGAAGAAGGCAGGAATTTATAAATGATCTTTACAGAAATATTAACAATAAACAAAAATTGAAATGAAAAACAGATGGGAATTTGTGGAAGACCATTATAATATAAAGTTTTATTAAAAACAAGCTTAAAAGCTGCACTCTGTGCAGACTTTTAAGCTAGCTCCTGTAGAGGGATAATTGGACCCAAAACTAAAGAGACCTCTAGTTCAGCTTGGGAAACAGCAATGATAATTTTGAAGAAATAACTTTGAATTCCTTAATTCACTCCATGGAACTTCAAAACCTCACTTTAACTCTGATTCAGCCTATAAGTCCAAATCTGGCCAAAAGACCAATTTGGCCCAAAATTCAAATTCAGGTCAAAAATTGAGTTCTTCAAATTACAAACTCTGTAGAATTTCAAAAGCTCACAACATAAAACCTCTCACTTTAATTCTGATTGGTTGGTATTTTGAAGAAATAAAATTGATTTCCTCAATTCAGAAAGTTTTGGAGATATTTTAAACTGAATTTAAAACAAAAATTTTTAAATTCACAAAGTTTTTGTGTTACCTTAAACTCAATATAAATTAAAAACTTTTAAAATCTCTAATTTTTTTCATTTATTTCAAAATTTGAATTTTTAGCTGTTCCTGCTTCATCCAGACACAAATCCCAAATGCTGGATGTTCAAGCACCAGATGAAAGGCAGATTTTCAATCCTAGGATCACCCTGATTCCAAAAAAGTATAATATGTCTATGTAGAGCAAGTATAGCCCAAGTTAGAGGGGTTGGATACACAATGTCTGTATATGGAATCATCAGTCAGCTATTGGGGACTTTGGCAATATGTTATAAAACATAATGTCCCTTTAGGATCTGGGTGACCATAGTCATCTACATCTTCTTTTCTTTTGTTCCTCTCAGTAAAACTTTCTCCTTTATGACATTGTGGTACTTGTTCCTTCAACCATTTGCATAAACTTAACAAATAGGTTCTACACTCAGGGTGGGTCTTAAATTCTCCAAGCTCTCTTTCCTCATTATGCTTCCAAAACATTTCAGCAACAAGACTTAAAAACAAAAAAAATATTGCTACCAAATGTTAACCATTTTAATTTCTTTATAAGATTTTTTTATTTGCCATGTTTTGTCTTTTAAATGTTTCAGTCAATTTTATTTCTTGTTTGACTTTTCAGAATTGATTGAGGGCAAAGGTCATGGTATATTTGATTTGCTCGATGAGGAGAGTAAACTTCCAACTCCTAAATATGACCACTTCACCAGTGAAGTTCATACACGTAATAAGAATCACTTCAGACTCAGTGTAAGTAGAGCATTTCTAATTTTCTAAATATTAATCTGTTAACAATTAAAGGTATGGTATTTAAGGTTATGTATGTTGGTGTCTTATAGGTGTGTGTGTGTGTGTGTTCACATATAAACAATTAATATTACAAGCAACAAAAACTTGGGTTACTACTCTGGACTGCTTCTTCATTTTTTTTTATAGGAATTGTAGGGAAACAAAGTTTTCAATGTTTTTTGGGTATGTCTGTTTCTTTTTTCTGATCCAGAAGTAAGTTAGTGTAAGGGGAGATAAAAATGGTTAAAATTGTTGTGCTCAAGTCAGCTTTGTGCTGAGTTGGAACAACCAAAGTACTTACTTCATGGGTGAAGCTGCAAAGCACATGTGAATACTATGTGTTGGAAAGAGAGATCAGTCTTCACTCAACCAGGGAAAAGAGATATTTGCCAGTGGGGATATCTTCATCCACATCATGATACATCTTGGAGTAAGAGGAAGAAAAGAGAAAGCTGAAGGAAATCTGTCTTTTTATAGAACTTAAACAGTGCCACCTAATGGGTGTTTGGCAAAGCCAAGTGGAGTAATATTATTTCCAGTTCTTTTACTCTTTGCATCATGGGAAAAATTTTCTTTTATTATTCATTATTGTTTTATTTGCTATATTTTCCCACAATCAGTTCATTGATCAAAACTTAATCAAACTGCAGAATCCTTTTGTGATTAAAAAAAGTGTACAAGCAATATGAAATTAGAGATGTTTTCAATAGTTTTAGAAATATCTTGTCTAATTGCAAAAATATACAAGTGTTTACAGGAAAATGCTTTGTCTTTAAATAATGGCGAATTTCCAACTGGAAAGCAGAAAATATGTTAGGGATGGCCAATCTGTCACGTGTTAAAAGAATGTGAAAGGTTATCCACCTTTGTTTGAGCTATGATTTTTCTTTTTCAAACGTCCTTACCCCAACCATCTTCCTCTTGCCACCAACTCCTGAAGCTTTTAAAATATTGTTAATTTTTAGCTACTGAGTTCCTAAAAGTTACCAAACAAAAATCAGCTTGATTATTTTGGGACATGAAAAGACAATTTGGTATAAGTTTCAATTGTATAAATATTTATTTTAATCTTTTCAGGTTCCTCGAAAATCAAAACTGAAGAAACATCGTGATGTTAGAGATGACGAAGGATTTTTGATCAGGCATTTTGCAGGGGCAGTATGCTACAATACGGTCAGTAAATTTTCTCTGACTTTTGGCCTCAAAGTTCTTTATATTTTTTTTTTTTTTTAAATTTCACCCCAAGCAAGGTGACAATACTACTAGGTTGAAAGGAGTTGCTGGGAGTGAAAGAGAATGAGAATACTTTAGTGAGGAGAAAAGACAATGAAGGAACAAAAGTCAGGAAGACAAAGATTGCAATTGATGTTGCATTTAAATTTTTGAAGATTGTAGTTAAGAGGAAACCAAGGAGTCAGAAGAGTTCCACAAGTGAAAAATGTGAAAGAAGAAACTTTTAGCATAGAACTTATATCTAGCTAATTCAACAGTAAAACAATGAGACCTAGTTACCAATCTAGTAATACACTTGAATTCATTTGGTCAAGGTACCAAGAGGAAAAGCTCATTAGAACAACTGCAATCAAAATATTTATAGAAAAGACGGAAGGAAATCATGTCACAGTTGTGGGAAATGGGCTGAAGTTAAGATAGGTAACAACATTGAGTGAATGCATAAAAATAGAAAGAGGAGTGTGACAAGGATTTTCTCATCAAATTATACAAAACAACGATCGTAGGAGAATTAGAAAACTGACCAGAATTTATTATTAATGGAAACAATCTTAACATAAGACAGTGACACTGTTAATGGCAGATTCAGAATAAAAACTGCACAAATACTTAGATAAGGTGATAAAGGAAAATGAAAAGAAATGATTAACTATTGACTATAAGAAAACAGAATACTTTGTTGTCAGCAAAAGAAACAGCTCAAAAGTGCAAGCTATGAATTGTGAATGTTAAAATCAAACAAGTACAGACATTTAACTATTTGGGTAGTGGAATAACAGAAAATAGAAAATTTGACACAGAAATATGAAGATTTCTTTTTTGGCAATAAAGCCATTAATGCACAAGGTTACTAAGCATGAAAGAATCTGTGAGGATAAAAGAAAACATTATTAATGAGAAAGGAAAATAAAAGAACTGGATTTAAGGAGACAGATGACAATTGACATTGAATTTAAATTTTTGAAGATCAAAGTTGTTTGGAAAGCAAGAAGCCGGAGTTTCACAAGTGAGAAGTGTGTAGGGGTCACCAGCTCACCCTAACTAATTTATATTATGCAAATTACCACAAAATATGAAACAAGAAGAAGAAACACATTCAACATGAGAAGTTGCAAATGGAATTTATATATGCATAACAACAATCATACAAACAATAATTCAGTTGTGTTTGAAATGCTGAAATTTACTTGTCCTTGGAATTTTGAACGAGGAAAAATGTATTAAAAAGTGTGTGAGTTTGGAGAATTTTAGTAAGATGTAGTGTTACTTGTAAGAGAATTAAACAGTTTGAAAATTACTTTGAGTGAGAAAATGTATGATGTTGTGGGGAGTCATGATCGCTCACATCTTAAATGGACACAGCACATAAAAGAAAGTACTTTCTACAAAAAGATATTAACTCTATTGCTACAATCAGTTTACAGATCGTCTAATTTTTTAATGTCATTCAAAGATTACCAGTCAAACCCAATACAGAATCAAGTTAAATTTATTGCTACAAAATGTTAGAAGGTTAAATGTCACTGACTTTAAGTAAATAAAATTTCTGCAAATATTTGCAAACACTTTTCTTCACTTAGAATAATCCAAATGTATAAAAGATATTTTTTTACAAAATGTATTTCACAAAAACAGTCTTAAATGCAAAATGGTATTAAAGGTCATTTTTTTTTCATAGATCAAGGGAATTAACTGCAATAATGAATTATCTCCCTTTGGCAAATTCTGTATATTACAAGTATTTTTCTTCTTTGATGGAGGTGATCATGGCTCTTCACAGCTTCCTATCTCTCTTAGCAGGGTTTCTCGATTTCCAAAGCCTCCTGCCCCCACCGTTCTATCATCTTGCCCTGTAAGAGTTAAGTTTTCCAAGCCTTCCTTCCTCACTGTGTCCAAGAAATTTCAGCTGTCTCATTCTGATTCTAAGTATATGTTGTTTTTGTTACCATTTTATTTAAGACTTTCCCATTGCTTTCTTGCTGTCTATGGAAATCTCTGCATCCTTCTGTAGACCAACATTTCTAGTGGCTACTGTTTATTCTTCATCTAGGAGTTTATTCATCTGTCCAATATTCATTGCCATATAAGAGGACTGATATCATATAGCTACTTAGCACACTTTTGTTTTTAATTAAATTTTCCTTTTTCTTAGTGTTTTGTTTCGCTATTGGAATTAATTTTTTTTGCTAATATGATGTGTGTTCAGATTTCTGCTTCGCATTTTCCATCCTCTGTTAAAACAATTGCCAGATATTTAAACTCCTATACTTGTTTCATGTTGACATCTCCAATTAGTGCCCTACATCTTTTGTTCCTCTTGCTGTCAACCACACATTCTGTCTTCTCACAGTTGATGGTCAGTCCTTTCTTCACACTTTCCTTTACTACCTTGTCTAAGATGTCCTCTAGTTTTTTTTTTTTCTGAGTCTGCCATCAACACTGTGTCATCTACATATCTTATGTTAAGATTGTGTCCCCTGATTGTTTTGATCAATGTTACCATTCTCAGAATTAAATTTTTATATTTGCCAGTTAACAATATCTTGTTATATGTTAATGGAAAACAGTTTTATTGTAATATTTTTTACATAATTTAAATCATAATTTTTCTCATTCAGTGTTATTAATTTTTATTAGACAATCTGTAAGAATTTTAATGAGACCTATTTTATCAAATTAAAGAATAATTGTGAAATTACTAAATAAACCTCTATTTGTTATTTTCCAAAAAGTACTAGTTTTCAATTAATTATATTTAATGATGTTGGTACCTAAGAATGGTAAAGAATTATGCTTTTCAGACTCAACTGTGAACTTTTCAGAAAAGTCTGTTTACTAAATGTACAAGTTTTATTTCTGAAATTTATAAAATAGTTCTCGTTAAAACTATTAGAAATTGTCTATTGAAAAATATTGATACTGAACACAGGAAAAATAATGATTTAAATCATGTAGAAAAAAAACACCCACACATTCCACAAAACCTGATTTCCTGTAACATTTATTGTAGATATGGAACTTAATGTTATTCCAAGAATTATTTGAATTATTGAACTCTTTATATTACTGCCACAATGTATTGGCTGATCTATTCTTGAGCCTTCAAGTGCACCATCTGTAATGAAAGGGACATGTCTCTCTTTCCAGTTAGAAAAAAAATTGGCAAATGGAAAAGAAATTGTGGCTTGTAAGAAGAAGAGACTTGAAGCAATGGAAATGTGTTTCTACAAAAGGATAATGAGAATACCAAACATGTGAGCAACAACAAGGTTTTTAGAAAAAATGGAAACAAAAAGGAAAATTATACTTAACATCAGGAAGAGACAGTTGAAATTTCTGGGGCACATAATGTGGAAAGAGGGCTTGGAAAATCTGATACTCACAGGAAAGATAAGGAACAGAGGAAAACAGCACATAATTGATGAGCTTAAGTAAATAGATGGTGGAACAGGGTCTAGGAGAAATAACACAAAGACAAAACCTATTAAGAGCTACAAAAGACAGGAAATTGTGGAAAGCCATGATTGTTTATGTCCTGAAGAGACATGGCATATAGAAGAATGAGTTTGAGTAAATGGATAGTGGAACAGGGTCTAAGAGAAATAACAAAAAGACAAAATTTATTAAGAGATACAAAGGACAGGAAATTGTGGTGAGCCATGATCACCTACGTCCTGAGGGCACAGCACATAAAGATCAGCTTGGTTCCTTCCTACCAATACTGGCACTGTTTTGCAAAAAACAAGACACTCCTTCATCATGTTTGCTTTATGAGTTGCATACTCAAAGAAGGTCGTAGAATGAATTGGCCAAAATATTGTCATATTAACAAAAAAAAAGGAACAAGTTTCACAGAACAAGCAACTTTTAAAATGATGTTTTCGCTGTTGTGGCCTTTGGCCTTCATCAGGTGCCTGTTGATCTGGGTAATTTTTACAGAATTTAAAACTCACAGGACAATAACTGTGTGAATTAAAGTGTTGGCTTGTGAAACAGGGTGAGCAATAACAGAGCACAGTATTAACCCAGCGTTAGTCACCTCAGATTTCCAAAAATTGATAGTCACCTGGCATCTACCCACAATGATGAATGAGCTACAACTGCACCACACCATGTACTATACACCATCACTGAGTTAGGAGAGTAGTGGGAGGAAGCAAAAAACACAAGTTGCCAAATAGGAATTATAGAAGGTTAACAAAACACCCCATGTGACTAATGCAGGGTTAAAAACAATATGACATATCCCTATACATGTACAGTGGAATGAGAACAATCCATCCCCATAGTTCAAATAAAGAGTTCAGTTCAAAATTCCCTGAAGGTTTCCTGGATTGATAAGTACCTAATGAAGGCTTGGGTGCACAACATCTGAAACATGATAATAACAAAAAAGATGAGGAAAATAGTCCAAGCATAAATAAAGATAATTCCTCATCCCAGAAATTCACACAGAAATTATTGAAATGATGAGTCTTCTTGAAATGATATGCAATATTTTTTCTTTTGTAAAATTCAGACAATCAAATTTCTAAATCTAAAAGTTTTTCTTTAAATTCTTTTAAATCGATCGATTTTTATACAAGAGGAATTTCCAGTTCAGAAATAATTGAAAAGAAAAAATGTTTATTGATTTATTTATTTCAGAGTTTGTTTATTGCCAAGAACAATGATGCCCTGCACACGTCTCTGGCGTTCCTTATCCAGGAAAGTACTGATCCGTTGTTGAAGTCCATGTTTGCTGAAAGTGTACCTATGTCTGGTGGAAAACTCAACTTCATCAGTATTGGCAGCAAGTTCCGATCTCAGCTACAGGTCCTTATGGATAAGTTACGCAGCACTGTAAGTCTAAATCACATTTCATTTTTTACAGCTCAATGTATATGTAGAATGAGGCAATGATTTAGTGTAACTAAAAATACAAGTCCACATTATACATGGTCAAATAAAGGCAAAGCATGTAATTACGTATATGATTGTGCAGATAGCATAAGCGTCATTGATTTTTATGGTTGATAAGCCATAAAAAAATCAATTCAAAATCAATCAAGACAAATTTTTGTGACTGTAAATAGACTAGACAAGGAAAAGTATTTTTAGAAATTGACTTTGACTCAAACTAAAGCAGACTACTTGATAAGATGTCTTCTATTTATACATGACACATGAACAAAGTATTAAACACAAGAATATGTGCAAATATTTAACAGAAAAATACTAATCTCTATTTGGAAGTGTGTTAATTGAAGTGCAAAATAATAATAATCAATACTTAAAAGTTGAAATTTTGCTGAGTAAGTTTTCTTTCTCCATAAATTATAAGTTCAGGGCCCAGATTTCAATAAAGAGATGCCCTAGGCTATTCCACTTGTGAAGCCACTCCAAATCACCCATTCTCACAAGTAGAGGAATATGGAAGTGTATTAAATTAAACAATTTGAGCAAAGTTGAAGATGAGGACATAGATCTAAAATTCTACAGTTGACAATTCCTCCTCTAAAGAACACAAGATGTTATTGTTAAATACAGTATGTGATTGACAAAATGCATGAATATTAAAATTTAAAAAATCTATAAAGAAGTCAATACTAGCATCGAGTTATCAGCCTTAAGACAGAATTATTCTGAAATGGAATATAAAGAAAATTACTGAAGAGTTCTTTAGGGTCTACAATGCATTATGACAGCATGTGTAAGAAAGACTTATGACTGTCAAAAATATTATACACATTGAGTGGAGGCCCCCACCCCAGATTTTGAGCCTGCAGGGAAATCTGGCACTGTATAAGTTAATTAAATTATCATTTATCAATTCAGGATATTGTATCTTAATACTTTCAATAAAAAGACGTTTTTGTCTGAAATTGATTAGAATCTTTTCTAATAATACCAATATTTCTGCCCTGTTGCAAGGCTCATTGACAGGGTACAGTTTCTTCCAGGCAAACGCTTGTGACTTAAAAATTACCCTTCAGTCAAGATCATTACCCATGAGTAAAAAACAAAACAATTTCTAGCAGTAAACAAGATTTTATTTTGGGGTTGCAATCTACTGCTATAAGCAAGCTAATTAGAGATGAGGCATAGGTGAGTGTGGGGAGGTGCACAGTTTAGCCACCCGGTCAATTCTACAAGGCCCACTTCATTCCTCTGTGTGCCTTATTGTGAGATGATCACTTTTATAAATAACAATTTTCTTTGTAATCATTGTCATCTCTGTCTGAGCCTCTTGTTCTATACTTTGAAGTGAAGTTGACTCCACTTTCTAATAACCATTGGTCAAAAGTAAATGCTCCATATCCATTTTTGTGATAGGTTCCACTGTTTTCAATTTAAGAAGACCTCAGCAGATTCATATTGCTAAATTATGCATCTGCTATAATTTGAATCTGCTTGTTTGTTTTACCAAATCTTAATTTCTACAGATTTTTAAAGTTCACAAATGCTGACTTAATTTCCTAATTTATACTGATTTTGTTACTGTAATTAGATAAATATAAATGTTATTACAAATAAATTGATGTATATGTATTTAATTTATCTGTATAAAAAGTAATTATTAACAGATAAAATTGTTTAACATGGAGTATTTCATGTCAAAGATTCGCTGTACCACACACATTTATCTAAACCACCCTTATACCCTTCGTATTCCATTGTGAGATGTAAGTTCCACTTGAGCAGCTTTTTCTCACAAACTGATATTTTCTGGACCCAACTAACTAGAGAATGCTTCCCTGATCACGACAATTTTAACCTGTTCAAGTCTAGGGTTAGTTGTTGTCTTCCCTATATATCCCCATAAACTGTGCCTCTTACTCTGTAATGCTCTACCATGAGTTCTAACATGCACAGCTAAGACCCAACAAACCACACCCATTGTAATGAACCACCTTTATTCCTTTCATATTCCACTGGTGAGATGCAAGTTCCACTCAAACAGCTTCTTCATAAAACTGACTTTCAAGAGGATGCTTCTCTGATCACCAGAATCCTAACCTGTTCGAGTCTAGACTTAATCACTATCTTCTCTGCATATTTCCATAAACTGTGCCACTTACTCTGTAACCCTCTGCCTTGAGTGATTCTTGGGAAAAAATTTTGAAGTTTAAAAACATTTCACTTTACTTCTCAAATAGAGTTGCCAATTTTTATTTTTTGTTATTTTCTTGCTATCTAACACCTGCTGTTACTAGTTTACTGTTTAAAAATAGTCTTTTTCATTTAATTTTGGAAGTTCGATTGCAAAATTTTTTTCAATGACTGTGAAGAAACTTATTCAAACTTATGGCATATACACAACATTTAAAAAAAAAAAGTAAAATGTAGGGAAAAAAGCAGATGGAGAACACAAGTAAATTTTTTTTCCCCACCAAATATGTTAATTTATTTACTATAAATGATTTCTAAATATAAAAATAAATTTAGTTTTTCAGCTGCATCTGCTAGAGAAATACTTCTTTAAAAAATGAAATTCAATAAAATTTCCACATCTGACAAAAGGAAATAGTGGAAAAATCTAATTCTAATTTTATCAACAGTCAATGTTTTTTTTTTAAGTGTTAAGACTAAGAACAAACAACTGATTAAAAATAAGAACATCTGTTGCAAGAAATATATATATATATATATATATATATATATATATATATATATATATATATATATATTTTTTTTAAAGATATGTTTTGTGGTACAGAATTTTATGACTGCCATAAAAAGACAAAAATTATTCATGATGAAAATAGATAAAAAGTAAAACTGAAAAACAGGCTAGCTAACTGGTTTCGAACCTCGCTCAACAGAGTTAAATCAAAGTTAATAAATTAAATAGAATTAACACTAAAAACGGTGGACAATATGTATGGGGAAAAAAATATTGCTTAGATGGAAATTAGTTGGAGGCCCAGTACGAAGTCCTTCTGTTTACACAGAGAGGGCTTCAACGATAAAATATAAATGGTCTCCAACACTTTCAAGTGTTAATTCAAGTGGGACTTGCTAAAAATAGTAAATGAGTCCACACTGAAACTAGTAGTACAATTATGGCTATAAATTAGGTGCTCTGCGATGGAAGACTCATATTTATTGGTCAGAATGTCTGAAGGAGTGTACTTAAGATTGCGGATTTTTGTTGGGACGTGACTTCTTGTATTTGCCCTTCAAGTTCTTCCAAAGTATTGGCTTGGTATAGTAGACTTGCTCCTTTAACCAACGCCAAAGAAAAATGTCACAGTTTGTTAAGACAGGACTCTTGGTTGGCCACTCATATATAAAATATCTAGTTACTTTTCAATCACACTGTATATATTATATATATATATATATATATATATATATATATATATATATATATATATATATATATATATAACCAATAAGGAACAATAACACTACCTACACTACCACCATCTGAACAAATACAACCACCACCATAGCAATTAGCATGGCTATCGCAACAAATATAACCATTAACATTCCAAAATTATTATTTTGTGACAACTACCATTACTATCACCATTAATTTTGTTGTTTTTACCATTGTTATTATTATTACCATTATTATTATGATTATCACAATTATTATCATTGCCATTATTTCTTTACTATTTTATATCTTAATTTTTAGTGTTGTCATCACTACTATTATTATTATTATTTTTGTTATTATTATTATTAACATCATTATTAGTGGTAACATTACCATTAAAACCATCATAACTAATAACATATCAATTATTATCAATATATCAATAATAATATAACAGCTAATAATACCATTAACATAATCATAATCATTAATAATACCACTGCAGTTGTTGTTGTTGTTGTTGTTGTTGTTAAAAAACACAAACATCATTGCCATGTCTACAGACAGAACCCAACTTAACCAACTTAACCAGACTCAAATTAATGAGCATGGGTGTACGTTTACATGTGTGCGTGTGAGTGCATGTGAGCCTGTCTGATGGTTCAAATAGCTGACCTAAAAAAAATTGTCAAAGCTGTCCCAACCTGTCCCTTGCTAAGAGAACATTGCTATATTTATGAAATGCTACAATCTTGACACCGACATAGATAGAATAATATTAAGTGCATACTTGTGCTTGAGTGTATGAAAGTGTAACTGTGCCTACCAAAGATTATGAATATGGATGTGTGTATGTATGAATTAACATGTATACACCTGTATGTGTGTGTCTATATATATGCAAGTATCATCCAAAACAAACACAGAACAGGAAAATTCCCCCCCCACACACAAATAAACAAACACAAATCAAGCATAAATAGATCTACTTTTGAAAAAATAAACCAGTTTGTCTGAAGATTGTTAAAGCATGAAACCTAAGTTCACAAACAATTCTCCATGAAACAACACACACACACACACACACACACACACACACACACATATATATATATATATATATATATATATATATATGTAAATGGACATTGAAATCAACACTCAGAGGCAACATTCTGTTTCATGTTAAATGCAATTGTCAGGCCTGTTTCATGCTCAATGCGATCACATGACCTAATAATTGCATTTAAGCATGAAACACTGTCACCTCTGGGTGTTGACTTCAATGTCCATTTTATATTTGCATACACTCTATCCCTGATATTGATATTTAAACACTTTAACAACATAATGAAGCCAAGTGATGATAAACAAAAGCAAAATGTTGTATAATGAAATATATATATGGGATATTAGTAACTTTTTTCTTTTTGACTAAGTGTATGTTTTTGTTTCCCATGTTGACAATGGGTAAAAGTTTTCAAAATGTACAAAAGACAAAGTGAATAAAATAAACAATAGGAAAATGGTACATTTACTATTGTCCAAAAAGAGACTTTTGCAGAAGCAGCTTTTAAAATTTTTGAATTTCAAGTAAATATACAGCATTTTACTTTTATTTATCATCACTTTATCTTGATAAAGTTGGATGAGAACTTTTACACACACACACACACACACACACACATATATATGAGAGAGAGAAAACTAAGATCTGTAGAAATAATTATATCTGAAATGGTTGTTTCTGTAAAAACAGTACAATTTCTACTATATTCTTTAAAAACACATTTTGTTACAACAAATATGCAATCATACAAATATTGTGAAATTAACTTAGACAGAAATACACACATTGATAATCACATTATGGTTTAAAACACTAGCATCATGTTTTTTTAAACAATTTCTTGGTGGCACTAAACTTAAATACATGGGTAAATTGTCGCCATTTTTTATTTTTAATTTTGTGCATGCATGTTGTTTTTGATTTTGTCAACTTTACCGTATAGTAGGGTCATTTGGGCACCATCTGTGAGAAAAATAGCACTATGATACAATTCACTCCACCATAAATTCGGAATCAGCATGCTGTACTGATTGGCATTTGCACTAGAAGCTCCAATATGAACATTTTAGAGTGTTTGGGTGTCAATCTAAGGACAGTGCAGAGGATTCAGAAAGAGTTGGATGAATCTAATGGTGATTATGAAGGTACGGCAGCTTGGAAAACTCATTCTGACTGTTCTGATAAGAAAAGAAATCCTAAATTTGTTGGTGAGGGCCACAGTTTCAATATGGAGGCCTACATCAAGTGCCTTAAGGTAGTGCTGCCCTGAGAGGGTGGCTACTAGAAGACCCTATGTCTGGCAATAGGACTCTACACCATGCCACACAAGCAGAAGAACCCAGTCATGGCTGTCAGACAATTTCTGCGACCACATCACCCCTTACATTTGGCTACCTAACTCTACAGACTGCACCCTCCTTGATTATTATGTGTGGAGTGCAAAACTCTTTGTAACACCAAAGATGAACTGAAGGCAAGGATTATAGCAGCATTCACTAACTTAAACAAGGAGACCACCCAGAAGAGTTGAAGGAGATTTCAAAATTGTCTGGAGGCCATGTGTAGTTAGTTTCAGTAGAATAGTTTAATAGCAATTTTTGCTATTTTTATTTGTATTATTAGCTTCTCTCCTCTCAGTCACAAATTTGATTTGAATAGAATCCAAAGATGTAGTATAAATTAACAAGAATGATTCCAATTCTTCTCAAAAGTTGGTTATTCTTGATAAGATCTAAATAAGAATCTGCAATGTTATTGTTCTTGACTAGGCATCTTGGCTTCAGTCACTTTCCCACTGCCATGGCTTACCTGTGCCCTTTCTATAAGTACTTTCATAATAATTGTTTTGATGAACTTTCCTCTATGGTACCTAGAGTTTATGAATTTAAGTGCAGTGCAAGATTGGTGGCCAGGTTTCATCATTTTAATCAAAATGCTAGATGAAACCAATGCTAATAGTTTCTTCTATCGAACCTCTTGCTTGTGGAACTCTCTTCCAGCTTCTCACTTCCCAGTCAACTTTGACATTGCATTTAAATTTTTGAAGATCAATCACTATCTTCTGTTTTCTTAATTACTGTCTTTATTGTTCTCTCTCCATAATAGTTTTTTTCTCACTAAAACTCAGTAACACCCACTCAACTTGTGTCTTAGTGGCCCTACTGCCTTTCTTGGGATGAAATGATTAAAAAACATCTAAATAATGTATTATTTATGCATATATATATATATATATATATATATATATATATAGTGATATGCTAATAGATTCCTAATATTATATAGGAGCCCTTTCAAACCTGACAGCAAATTGTTGTGTCATTGAGTGAATGATTTTAAAAAAATTCAAGTAGTTTCATACAATTTTGTGCCCAACACTTTAAACTCATATGACTGATATTAAACACTGTGGAGTTTATTTCAATTAATTATAACAATTCTATATATACTCCATTATTACAGGAGGTTTGGTGTGATTATACAATTCAATTTCTTTATGGCAAATACAATTCAGATTCATGCATTATGAATGGCACATGTTTCCTTGGTGAAAATATAAGTAACCTGATTATAGTTCATTGTTAGCCACAATTTTAAATGCAGTGTCAATTGTTATCTTCTGATGTCTTAATCTCTGTTCTTTTATTGTTCTTTCTCATTAATAATGTTTTTCTTTTCTTATATTATTTCACACTTAGTAACTCCATGTGTTTTAGTGGCTTTATTGCCTTCCTTAGAGTAAAATTATTAAAAACAACTTTTATTTGTATATTCCAGGGTACTAACTTTATTCGCTGCATCAAACCTAATTTGAAAATGGTTGATAGCCTTTTTGAAGGTTCCCAGATCCTCAGCCAGCTGCAATGTTCAGGTCAGTTAATTTTTGCCAATAATTTATTCATATTGCTAAAGTGATTCACTAGTTTACATTGCCATTCTTATAAAATGCTAGGGAAATACTAAAAGTGTCTCAACTCTATTGTTTGGACAATCAGCCAATGATTGGGCATCATTTACAAGCCTTACAAAAAAAAAAAAAAACCCACAGCCTTAAAAAATGGCTTCAACATGAGAATAAAATTCATTCAGTATTTAAATAATTCCACTTTGTAGTTTTTGAACATGATAGTTAAAATGAAAACAAGATGTTACAATAATTAAAAATGAAGAAAATCTTGTTATGATGATCCAACACAACATTTCAACTATTATGCTTTCTCACCTTCTTCAGGTATCTGTTGCACCAAAGTAACATTCAGGGAATATTTTTAACTGAACACTTTATTCACTTTACAGAAGAAGATACTCTTGTTCTGCTATCCATATTTAGGGATATCTAATCTTCACTAAATGTTCAGTTATTGCCAGTTTTGTTTCTTCTGTGTATGTATATAGTGCCCTACTCAATGATTGAACTTATGATTATTATGTCAAAAAATTTACTAACCAGTGCTTTTCATGCTCTAGGACAACTTGACATGATGTAATGATTAGCAAGCTTGTCTCACTAAAACAATTGTGATTGAGTAGTGAGTTTGTACATCACTGGGTGCCCCATACTTTCAGCCTACACTTAGAAAATTATTTGAGCATCTCGATATAGTATAATGGTTAGCAAGTGTGTCTCGCTAGAACAGTTACCACTGAGTAGTGAGTTCAATCCTCACTGGGTACCGCATACTTTCAGTCTTGTGCTACGTCTAAGCTACACTTAGACAATAACCATACTCTAGTCTTGGTAACATAACAGTTGTAAGGAATGATTCAGTCTGTTCCTTTAGATTGAATAAATGGTTCAGGTTAAAATTCTCTGAAGGTTACACAGATGAACAGGCCCCTAAAGAAGGCTACAAGGTAAAACAGCTGAAATGTTGTGATCATAACAACAAAGATGAGGATAAAAGTCTGCATGTAAATAATCCTAGAAATTCAGACAGAAGTACATATAAGGCAAATGTTGGGCACTATACGAGTTTATGGACAGGTTGAAGAGGGTCCTGTTGAGTGGCCACCAAGCTCACCAAACCTCACACCTTTGCATTTTTTTTTTTTTTGTGGGGCCATTTGAAATGAGTTGTTTATCAGACATGTGCAAGAAATATTAAGGAACTTAAAGAAAGAATTAAATATGAATGCAGGAAGATGACAGAAGAAACTCTTTGACATGTTAATAAATCATGTAGGCAAAGAATTGGAATGTGATTTGAAAAAGAACGAGGACATTTTGAACAACATATATAACAATTAAATAACTAGTAAATAAAATTTTAACATGTAATTATACTTTTAATAAATTATCACCCTGGGATGCATGGCTTTTGCTTCACCCTGTGTATTATTGATTATTGAAAGAATTATTGTTTTATTAGTATAAATTGCTGGAAACGGGATAGACCATTACTGCAATAAGTGATAGTGAGCAAGTGGCATGTTTGAATGACTGTTGACATTATTGCATTGACAATATTTTTCTTTTTTCTCACAAATTAACATTCATTTTTTTTTTTTGGTCCTTGATTTCTTGCAGGAATGACATCTGTATTGGAGCTGATGCAACAAGGTTATCCTTCAAGAACACAATTTTCTGAATTGTATAATATGTATCAGAAATTCCTGCCTCCAGAACTGTCCATGCTTGATCCTCGTCTTTTCTGTAAGGTAAGACAATTGTTACCATGTAAGTTTAGTGGATAAGCGGGGGTTACTACCCATTTTTTAGTTTGCCTTTTGGCAAAATCTAAATCTGTAGCTAGGATATTGCAATTACAGCAACAAAACACTAATATCCTGATGAAAATAGGACACAGTGCAAATGTTCAGTAAATAAGCAGAATATCCATTCAAATATGGATATCCACTAAAAATAACATTTAAGTGATAACATCTGTGAGATTCATAAATAAAAAATCCATCCCCTTATTAGAAATTGCTTTGTTTATGTTAGGATATGCATCTATATGAATGTTTTGAGAATCTGAGAAAGATCTGTGCACTATTCAACATTGCTTGATCATTGGCACACTCCGTGACTGAGTCAGATCTAATGGCTGTTTCTCTTGCAAAGGGGGGGGATACACGTTCAAATCCTGCCAGAGAGAACCTATTTTCTTTAATGAAATTTCTCAAATATTCAGCAAAGTAGACAAAAATAAAACAATACACCATTTAAGAAATAAACAGAGCTTCTACTCAAATATGAGTATCCAATAAAAATAATATTTAAGTGAAAAAGTCTATAATATATATATGAATGTATGTATGTATGTATATATATATATATATATATATATATATATATATATATATTATTTATAGGAAAAGAGTGTTTCCTATAACATTTGTAGTTATTAAATAGTGTGGACATAGAACAGTGACTGCCAATCCCATGCTTTAAGTGATCATCAAACAATGTGGTACTATTCTTTTGTGTGAGCTATATATATATATATATATATATATATATATATATATATATATAATTATTTATTTAAAAATTATAACATAAATATGTTATATATACACACACATACACACATTGTATATACACATGTAATGTGTGACCTCACATATCATGCAACCCCCAAATTTTCACTTCATGTATCTTGTGTATCATGCAAGTTCCTTTTTTGAGAGACCAAATTACAATCAATTAACCTCTTTTACTCTATCTCTTTATCCTATCTTCTCATTAAAAAAGTAAAAGAGAATGATAAAAGTATTGTTAATAACACTATACTCATTGTGTACAGCCATAAACAACTGAATGAGAAAGAGCTAAACATCTTATAAATATAAACAATAGAAAAGTTGCATATTCACTATTTTTGTATTTTATAATATGATACTAACATGTGAATATTACATGCATCATTATTGGATATAGTTAAGTATAACATCATTTTTATCAAAATTATGTTTATTTTAAATACAGCTGTACTTTTTAACTACAGTAAATGGATATATAGCTTGGTCAATGGTGTAGCCATGGCCAGCAGTACATATGCTAATTTTATATCTCATGTATGATGTGACCACCTCAAAATTAGCTTCAAAATTAGGTCTTCAAAAACCACATGATACATGAGTGTGTGTGTATATATATATATATATATATATATATATATATAATTATTTATTTAAAAATTATAATATAAATATGTTATAAAATCACTACAAAAATAGCCATTTTGTTTCAACACCTTTAGTGTCTTATCAAGTGATGATGTTGAATGTAGATTGTAGAATAAAGGTTTTAAAGGTTCAATTCAACTAACCACCCCTTGTAAGGGGAAACGCTGTTACATGAGCTGAAATGACCAATCAAAAAACAAGCATATGAGAATTCAAAAAACTTGACAATGAAGTAAGGTTATAATAATTATTAAATGCTTTAAAGTTGGGTTTATACTAAAATAGAATTTATTCTAATAAGTATTAAATTGTATGATAAAATTTGAAATTAAAATTAAAAATTAAAAACTACCCATTTCAAAAATATAAATTTAATCTATATTAAGTTTAAAATTTTAAAATTATTGAGGAACAAAGAAAAAATACATATGTTATTCTATTCATTTTGTTTCTATTGAAATTACATTGGAATAAACACTAAAATCGACTGCCCTTAACTTAATGATATACAAGTGTATACATTGGATTATGACATCTTGCGAAAGAAAATACAAACACAATCAGATTATAATAGATAAGCACGCAGACATATTTAGATATATACACACACAAAAAAAATGACGAGACAGGAAATATTTGAACAACCTTTTACAAAAAAAAAAAATAATAATATTCAAACCACACACATGCACAATGAAATGTGCATGCATTTTACTATACACAGACACCGAAAAAGATACATACATATACCCACATACATTGACATAGACACTCTGATATAATACTAAAGAAATATTTGAGATTGAAGGTGTTATTAAATGAATTCTAACCACATATTAAAATATAACTTATACAGGCCAATAATAAACAATAGGTAAAGAAAGGATATTAAAATAGATATATGCGTTTAAAAATAACACCATCTAATATATAAAAAACGAAAATTCCAAACACACATATACGCCTAACTATACATTAGGTGAAAGAAAATAAAAACTGCCTACAAATATATGTGTACAGTGTACAACCATTCATCACCACAGACAGAAGTGCATAAAAGCCAGCCTATATATATATATATATATATATATATATATATATATATATATATATATATATATATATAGATATATATAGACACATATATACATATAAACACACACATACAAATACAGCAATATATACATATACATGTATAGACACATATATATATATTGTTACGAACTTGTAGCATATAGATGAACCACGGGTTCTAAAAAAAAAGTAAACGTGGTTTCTTTTCTCGGTCTTCACTCAGAAATGGAAGCGACACAAGGGAATCAACGAAGAAAAGACACAAGACGATGGATTTCAAAATAAAACATTTATTTATAAATATATATAACGAAATAAAGAAAGAAAAAAAAACATTCATTTAACAAAAGGGGAGGACATCATTAAAGAATAGAAGGCGCGAGCGAATACATACATATATGAAAACAGATCAAGCCAAAAGAACCAACTTTATCTTGCAGTCGGGTTGGTATCTTCACATAAAGTTTTGATTCGCCGAAGCGAGAGTTCTGATGATAAAACAGTATCTTGGCCGGCCGACAATGTTCCTGGATTCTTCTTCATTTCGCGAGTGTTCGAGGGTCCACAGTATTTCATACAGGCATTTGGTTGGGTTGAACAGTCCATAGCAGCCCTTTCACTCCCAGTCGACAGACTTTGCTGTCTTCCTCATCTCAGTGGGCGGTCTGACGATTTTTGCCCAGCGACGTTCAACTGCCGCTGCTCAGAGGGAAACTGAAAAATCCTTTTTTGGTTTCCGCTGTCCCCAAAGACAGTCACGTGGGTTCCCTTCGTCCTTGACCGGGTACGCAGGAGGATAGGGCGCAAATCACGCAGTGCTTGTGTGATGGCCAAAAGTTCAACACATGCTCAGTATGTTCCGATCACGTGAATCGCAGCAGGAGACCCTGATGGTGCCTGGAATTCACTCATGGTCAGACGCAAAATCTTGGAACCAGGTCACTCTCGCGTCGGGTCACTTCAAAGTTCACGGGCCCTTGGCTCGTGGGTGGAAGAGAGGATAAGGAGAGAAAGAATTTGTAAAGAAAAAGGAAGGATATGGCTGATCATAGAATATATTCGCTCGCGAGTCGGAAGCATTGGATTAAATTTCTGTTTTTATTTATTTATTTATCTTTCTTTTATATCTAACTAGTTTTCTCTTTATTTAAGATTTTACTTTAGCCTAACGCCTATATGGTAAATGAAATCGTGGCTACGTGACAATATATACACACACACCAGTAGATACAAACCAAAGTTTACATTCCTACACCTACACATAAACAAGTTCACATATGATAGCTGTTTATACACATACAAACACATATAAATATACATATATATACATACATAAACATACCTATACTTACAAGTATACATATATGCCCATACACATAAACACATACATACTCAACTATATACATATACATACATACACATATATACATGTATCCCTACATACATACATAAACATATCCATACATACAAAAGTACACATAAATAGAAATATATACGTAAATAGAAATACATTTGGACACACACACACATATATATATATATATATATATATATATATATATACACCAATATATATATATATTTTATCCTCCTCTCCTTTTCTCCTCTTTTTTAACTCCTTACTTTCAATATATATATATAAAAAAAAACCTACTTACATATCCAGCAGTACAAAAACACACACACACATACAGACATGAACAACACAGTATACTTAAACCAACACACACCCATATCAACAGGAGGACCATCAGGTAATAAAAATAATAATCTCTTAAATTTACAATGACATATCATTATCATTTTAAGTATTACAACAATTAATAAGTTAAATTTATAACGGTGTTTACAATTAACTGTTAGTTCATATCTTCGATTTAAGAGATGGGTCTTACTTATAAATCTAATTATTTCAAATTTTTCGTTAAGACAAAGATAACATGGGGCATACAGGGAGTTACATGTCCGGGCTTTCCTGATTAATTTCCATTTAACAGTAGGTGTTTCATTCTTTTCTTTTAGACTCCAAAAATACTTGGATAATGAAGTCATGTACTTATAATTACAGTTATTAAAAGATTGCATATGCCCTCACCAACGTTCCTTGAATGGATTCATGGTACTACCAATGTAGAATTTTTTTATATTTGGGTTTTCTAGTGTAGAGATTTTACTAAGATAAACAACAGAACTAGTCAAACAATTATTTTGTAGTGGACAATTATTAGGATTCCTACAATTGCACAAGTTGTTATTCGTGTCATTATACTTAGTAGTGCTGTTTGAAACCTGGTGAGTAATCAAGTTTTTGAGTCCCTATACTTGCTAAAGACTTTGTTGTTATGTTTTTTTAATTATGTCCTCTAGGTTATTAGCACAACTATAGCTTTATTTCATGGTATTAGGATTAAATATTTTACTAAGTGGGTCAGTTTCTGGGTTGGGGAAATGTTTCTTGATGAGGTTTAGAAATATACATCCTAATTTAGTTTTAACCATTATATTGAAAGGGGAAGTAAACCAAATGATCTTTCTAGATCTTTTTTTATTATTATTATGGTTGTAATTCACCAGGTTTCTATATTGAATAGTGGTATCTTTGTATACACTATTTTTAATGGCAGAATTGTAAAAATCACGATGTTTATTGAAAACATCTTGTTAGAAGAGTTAGTACTAATCCTAAATCCAAGGGAGGAGGGTATGTGTTTGATAACTGAAGGGGGATGGTTGGAATTTGGATGTACATATACTGGGTTGGAATTAACCTTCACATATAGTTGGAAAGTGTTGCTAGTAAGGTCTAGAGTGCCGTCCAGAAAATCTACTTGTTCAACGTTAGTTAAACTATAGTTCTAAGATACCTTAAATCCTAAAGTCCTTAAATACCCTATGAATCATTTTCCTAATATTGTCCACCTTAATTTTAGTAGAGTTTTTAACAACTAAAAAGCTGTCATCTCTATATAATCCTACACTATCAGAATCTAAACACTCAAAGGCACTTAAATTATACAAAAGAAATATTCCAACCAAGTCAGAAGCTTCAGCAGAATCCAAGGAACCCATTGAGATATCAAAATTCTCACTGCAAGACTTTTTGGTCCACTGTTCTTCATTATAGATCAGAACAGAATTTCGGCATTTCATAATATTATCCACTTCACTTTCAGAAATATTGGAGTATTCCCGAGCGAACTCTAAGGCCAAAGTGAACAGATCCTTCAATATAGAGGGATAATAGTTGATAATATCGAACTGTATGAATGTACAGTTGTCCTTATATCAGATGTTAGTAAACCAGTTGATAATATCAGCTGTATTAATCCACTGTAAGAGCCCAAAGGTGTTTTTTATGGAGTGGTTGGTTCTTTCCAAGATAGATTTACTGATTCTGCTAATTTCTGGTCTAGTAGGGTTAATAAGCCTAGTAGATGGCTTAGTTCTGAAACCGAGTCTGTGGTCTTTTAACAAAACATAAGCTTCCTTAGTTTGTAGTTTACTGACCTGATCACTAATCCGTAGTTTATCAGTAATTGATTTACTGACAGAGTTAATCCTATCTATCTGGTTAATCCTATCTCTTGGTATCAATTTTTTTGTAGCTTTTGGTCAGACTATTTTTAACTAATATATCATAGTCCTTAGGGGATAACTTATAAAAGTTAGCTGTTTTATCAGATTTAACATAAATGTCATCTGATTTATTAATATCATTTACAATAACATCCAGATTTTTTTGGAAGGAGTTTTTATATTTATGGATATTGATGATATGCAGTAGGTCATTTTCAAAACCCGACAATTCCTTAATAATTGGTGCTGTTTGTAAACTTTTAAAACCATAGTTTTATTGTTCACACAAATGTCTCTTATCATAAAGAAAAAAGTAAGCTTTCCATCTCATTCTTCTGATAAGGTTTTCAGTTTGCAGAGTTAAATAGGCGAACTAATCCCTTTTGTTCACGGTGGGAATGTTCTTAAGTGATAATCCAAAATTGATTCTATCCATAGTATAAGAATAGAATAGATAGTGCTCTCCAGTAATAGGAGCTAATAATTATTATAACCTTACTTCGTTGTCAAGTTTTTTGAATTCTCATATACTTGTTTTTTGATTGGTCATTTCAGCTCATGTAACAGCGTTTTCCCCTTACGAGTTGATTTGAACTTTTTAAAACCTTTATTCTCCAATCTACATTCAATATCATCACTTGATAAGATGCTAAAGGTGTTGAAACAAAATGGCTATTTTTGTAGTGATTTTATAACATATTTATATTATAATTTTTAAATAAATAATTATATTCACTCTACTCTCTATTGAGCACTCTTTTAAGAATAGTAATTGTTGGTGATTGGAATTTATTCTGTATACACCAATCATACGCTTATATATATATATATATATATATATATATATATATATATATATACGTGCCACTAGGTGAAAAACAGTTTCTGATTTAGTTATTTATAGCCTTGACCTTGAGTTTGTTTGTCTTTCATTATCTTCAATAATAATAATGGATTAGAAAATGCATTAATTGCTCCAAAATTACTTTGTTTACTTTTTGGATGGTATGAAAATAAAGTTGACAAATATAGTAATAAGATATATGTGTTTTATGTAAGTTCTTATTTTTAAAAGGAGTTGACTGTAAAAAGGATCATTGAGTCAATGTGAATGATCCGTTCATAAGCTGCATAATACGTGCTTTGCCAGGGCTACATACAGTTTTTAATTCATAGTTTTCCAAAGCTAGAATCTGCTCTGTCCTACTATTTACCCATAGCTGGGAGGAGGAGGAGAAGAAGAGTTGGATTCATATCTTTCTCAAGGGTACTAGCACTTAAGTGAATGTAACAAACTCACCTGAAATATGACCTTACCACTCTGATTCCTTAATCCAAGATGCAATCCATTTCCCCCCCCCCACCACCACCACCACTGTCCTCCTTATCTTTTACTTTAAAATAATTATTTCTCAACTGTCTAAGCTTTTTATTATGGTATTTTTTTAATTAAAATATTTAACTTTTACTTTTTAATTACAATGTTGGAACTAACATGATGAAAATTTAAATAACAATACTTGTCCAGTTTTGTGGGATTTAGCTGAAATAAACATCACTGAAATTTTACAATTGATACAACTACTCATAGTTATTAAATAATGGGTATACACGTTTTTAGAGAGATGAGGAAGCACTACATTTAGGTATTTATCCATACGTCCACAGAATGTGACACAAGGTCAAAGTTTGGAGTGGGATTTAACCCTCTGGCTGCACTGGGAACGTGTGGAAGATTGTATGTATAGGGTGATGCATTTATTCAGATTGTATTATTCTGAAAAAAACTAAGTAATGGTTTCTTCATTGGTTTTTCCTTCAATCAATCAAAACCAGTTATAAGAAGGACATTCCGGAAGTAAATATTTAAAATAGTTGCTGATATTTAACTTTTATATATAGTGAACATATCTAGTTTGTTTTTAAAATTTTATTAGCTAATATAAAACTGGTTACCAAATTTATGAAATATATTTTACTTACTTGCATGCAAAGTTATTTCCCTTTATAATTAATGCATGCTGACTTACTTCCCTTAACATTTCTTTCAATTCACTAATCAAGAATTATTCTCATGAAAGTATCCCTAAAATCAAATCCAGGAATTTTTTTAATTCCTGCTTATTGGCTAAAAGCACATTTGCATGTAAATTAAAATATATGAATTTTTCTTCACGGAATTTGCAACGTATTTCAGTTTTTACTTGGAGGAAAAATAGTTGAAATAAATTATAGCATTTTGATTTGTCTGTTACTTTTTGTTTTATTTCTAATACAAAACTTTTCAAATACAAAGGAAGGCTCAGAATATAAGTCTAGTCAAAGAATTCTACTGGGAAAGTAGTTTAGAGCAGTAAAATTAACACTTCCCAATGTGCTAGGGATGTATAGACAACTAGTACTCAAATTAAGAACAATCTAGATTGAAATAAACATCACCTAGAAATAGACATATCAGCATCTTTTGATGAATACCACTGAAATAGAAGTGACAGCCTGGTAAATCAACTCTAAGTAAATAATACTATAAATTCTGTATTTATTTTTAAATGATATATGTATGTGTCAATAATTTGATATGTTTATGAATCATAGGATAAGGAACAGATATACATCTAACATGTTTCACCTTTATTAAAGTGTCATCAGAGAATGAGATATAGAGAAAAATTAAAGAAAAAATTCTGGTATTTTTAATTTTTGTATTGTTTTTTTTTCATTGGTTAAAGAGACTTCATATGCATTTGTCTTGTCAAGCAGCCCTTGTGTGTAAATTTGTGTAAATCTAACATAAAAAACTAATGAAAAACAATACAAAAATGAAGAATACCAGAATTTTTTCTCATTTTTTTTCTCCATATCTCATTCTCTGATGAAGTCAAAATATGTTAGATGTATAAATGTTTCCTATTTGTTCTTTATCCTATCATTGTCAGATTCTGATCTACATTTGACCCTAATTCGTATCTATAAATAAACCAATTTCCAAATAAATAATGAATTTTTATTTATTAATCTGACATATTTTTATTTCTTTAATCATTATTTTTAGTAAATACCCATATTTGAGTAAACACTGTTTATTTTTTTAAACAGTATTTTATTTCATCTACCAGACTGAGCATTTGAAAAATCTTAGTAAAGAAAAATTCACCTTTCAGCAAGATTTGAATCTGTGTCCTTCTTAAAGATAAAAACAGAACATCACAAAAGTTTTTCCTGTAAAGGAAGACACAGGTTCGAATTCTGCCAGAGGAAGCATTTTTCCTTATAAGGAAACATTTGATATTCATTAACTGAAGAGCTAGAGCTACTTTTTAAATTTATAAAATCTTTCTCATAAAAACATTTTTTGGGGGAAAATAGGTTTGTCAAGTCTAGTAAGTGTTATTGCTCTTTTTAATATTGATGGGATTTTCCTTGATGTAGTGTGAAATATCAACATCTTGATTATGTCTTTTTGAGTTGTTGCTGCTGTATGTGGGAAATCTACAAGTGATGAGGTTTCTATTATTTAGTACAGTTCTTTGTAACTTTATAGCACCAGTCCAGGAGGTTCAAGAAGGATGATCCTCATTAAGACCTATAGGCTTCATTCATTCAAAGCCACCTTTTGATCTGAGAAAGTAGTTGTATACAGGTTTGTGTAATTTCATTAATTTATGTTATTTTATTTCCTTCTTTTTTATTAGTCCCTGTTCAAAGCCCTTGGTTTGGATGACACTGATTTCAAGTTTGGTATGACCAAAGTTTTCTTCAGGCCAGGAAAATTTGCTGAATTTGATCAAATTCTCAAAAGTGATCCAGAGAATTTAGCTCTGTTGGTAAAGAAAGTGAAGAAATGGCTCCTTGCTTCTCGCTGGAAGAAAGCACAATGGTGCACTTTGTCTGTTATCAAATGTAAGTGTTTAAAATAAAAGTTTCATTTTTTTTCTCTCCTGAAGAATTCAAAGAAAATTGTTGTCTGAAATTATATTTAAAATAATAACAAAAAATTTGATTCTGAATTGCCCATAAAAAAGATTTTCAAATGCAAACAATGATGTAAAATCCTCATGATTTTACAGTTGAAATGGCTGCTAGATGTTGTTCTACACTAACAGTTTCTTCTACTGCACTTCTTGCTTGTGAACCTTCTTCTGGCTTCTTGCTTCCCAGTCAATTTTGATCTTCAAAAATTTAAATGCAATGTCAATCATTATCTACTGTCTTAATTCTTGTTCTTTCATTTTCATCTCTCCTTAATAGTATTTTTTCTAATATTCTCTAACACTCAGTAACCTCTTGCATCTTAATGATAATATGATAATATATTGTATTTGATGATAATATGATAATATATTGTATTTGATGATAATATGATAATATATTGTATTTGATACTTATGCAAACCTTCTGAGAAAAAAATGCACAATCTGATGTGATAAGCAATTGAACAATACCAGTACACTAAAACTCCTTGGTCATAATGACTTGTGACTTGGTGCTGGCACAAACACTGATTGTTTACAAGTGATTTAGTTTACCCAATTTCCCTAATAGGGTTTGTGTCAAAGTTTTGTTTTTGGGCACTTCCCAATGGTACCAAACTGGGATGATCACCGCAGGTCAATATTGTGAAGTCAGTTTTATTAACAAATCAACACTAGTAAGAGTCAAACTGGAGTCTCATATAGACACACACACACGTGTACACATAAAATACTATGAGAACAATGCATGACAAATGACAGGACATTAACACATTTCCTATCAAAGTTGGATGCTGAGCTTTTATTCTCAATAAATATGTGAAATCTGCTAAGACCTGTTTTTCCTATAAATTTGTTTAGACTATCTCAGTACTTATCTTATTTACATTTGGACTATTGTTATTGATGTTTGCAGCAGCAGACAGATTAGGTGTAATGCTCCAGGTTTTAGACTCAAGATTGTCACATGAGACAATAGCTTGGTGTTTGCACCTTAAATATGGCTCATAAATAAAATACAAAAAAATCATATTTAATGAAGTAAATTAGTTACAACTAAAATAAATTTATTGCTAAAACAAGAAATCTGTAAATAAATTTATTTTAGTCATGGCTCCTTATTTACCTATATGTACTTCTAAAGTTTCACTGTTTATGATTATTTTTTGCATGTTTGTTTTTTTTTTTTTTCAAATAAATCTTTCTGAAGACATGTTGGAAAAAAGGTTCCTTTTAAAGAAAAAGAATACACTCTGTCATTTTTAAAACAATGTATAAATTCTGTGGTATAAAATATTTTTTCAAAAAAAAAAAAATATATATATATGTATATTTGTATTTTATTAAAAGCATATAAACTGTACTTCTGTATTTGCAAATGTTTCCTGAATAATTTCTTAAACTCTTTTTGTTATTTCAATCTTTATTTTTGTAAATACTTTTAGTGAAGAATAAAATAGCGTACCGTCAAGCCAACCTGATTATCATCCAGAAGAATGCCCGTATGATCAATGCTAAGAAAAAGCACAGGCATCGGTAAGAATTTTCTTGATTTCATTCAAATTTTCTTACACTTGTACATTTCACCATTAAATATCATTTATCTATTTATTATTACTATTATAATCAGTTAAGCTTATCGCCATATCATGTTGAAACACTACTTTTTGTATGATCACTAAAATTAAGCAACATAGTCAGTACTATAATAGGAGTAGATAGGTTTGCCTATCACCCAGTTCACACTCCTTCCTGGTGTTTTAAACAGGAGTAGAAATTTATACCTTGTTTCCTGTTTTAGATTAAGTTTCTGGTTCCTACTAATGTCTTCAAATTCACTTTCACTCCCTGTAGGCCCTTGCATCTTAATAGCATTATTGCTTGGGGTGAATTGATTTTAAAAAAATGAAAATAAAAAAATTATTTTATGTTCTATCATTTTGCAAACATTGCTTCTTGTACAGTTTTTTCTTCTTTGTTAATTTATTTGCTTCTTGATATTCCCACTTTAAATGTCAACTTTTTTATTATTCTTTCCTGTTGTTTTAATATTTTCATTTTAATTGCAATTGTGAAAAATACTTATTATTCACTAGAAGTGATTGCTTCTATTTTTTTGTTTTTTAATTATTAGATACCAAACAATCTGCAAGATCAAGGCTTTACATGGACAAATGGTCCGCATGGAACAAATTGCCTCCCAGCTTAAAGCTGATAGAGATGTAGCAACCAAACAACTGCAACAAATGAAGAATGGAGTAGACAGCTTGATCAAGAAAATTAAAGTAAGTTGCGTTATTTTTATTGTGTAACATCAGAAGCATTTGGTAAAGGGTGGTAATTGTAAAATTGAATTAATTTCTTTCACATGTCCTTCATGATTTTGCCACTGCAATGCTGGATTGCTATGTGATATCCATCCTCTTATAGGCCAGTGAATGCTAAGGCGATCTCTCCATGGATGAGGAGAAAACTGGATGTATATACAGAAACTAAGAATTCCATGGATGGAGCGAGTAAGCAACAAGGAAGAAAATGGCAACAAATAGAACACTTATGCTCAGAATTGGGAAGAGGAAGCTGAAATTTCTTGGACATAATGAGGGAGGAGGGCTTGAAAAACTTAACCCTCACAGAGCATATTGAAGGCAAGAAAGATAAGGAAAGACAGTGAGCCACCTAACTGACGAGCTTGTGTGAATGAATGGAGGAACAGGAGCCTTAGCATCGGGAAAAAATTGCTAAGTGCCAGAAGGGGATAGGAAGTTGTGTAGAGCTATAATTTTCCATGGCACATAGAAGAAGAGTGATTGTACATGTGTTACATCTCCAGAAACTTAAGATATTTTCCCACGCATGGACAGATGTAGCCAGGATTAAAGCATTAGTTAACGTAAACACTTAGATGTTGTAATGTAGACAATGTGCATGTTTAGTTTTGGTAAAATAAAAAAACCAGGAAATCAGAATTAAGGATTCAATGTTGGCTAATCAAATGGAAGATCAAGAACCTAAAATTGTGTTCAAGTTGAACCTATCTCTACTGATATAAGCAGAGGAGAATCAAAATGTAAACAGCGGTATTGCAACAGAGAAAAACAATCACATTAATGGACCAGGAACAACACATCTGCTCAACACATCAGTACTGTGAAATTCCCTTCACTACTCCTGGACAAGGAATTTCACATGAGAACTAATGCCCTGCTGACTGATAATAGGATTTATTTGTAAGTATGAGCATCACATACTAAAACTAAATATACTCTTGAAAAGCTTACATATGTGATTTATGACTGGTGTTTGCTGTTCCCACAAAAAACTAATTTTGCTCTCACAGAAACTCATCTCATTTCTTTTCCACAGTACCAGTGTTCCACCTAAGAAATAGTTATTGTTTGTTCTATAAATCCATGTTTGTGTTTCTATAGTAAGAGCCATTGCTACCTTAGGGCCAATGAAACAAATTGTAGCTATCACACCCCACTCTCTACATATACCTTGGATCTTTCTAGACCAGGGGTGGTCAAACTTGCTTAATGTAAAAGCCACATACAATAATGTTGTTTGACAGCTGCAAAACATGAACAAAATTTACACATACATTTTTGTTCCATATACATTAACATTAAATGTATATTTTAATCTAATGGGGTCTCAAGTCATACCCAGTAAATGATTATAAAGCTTGACATTTTCCTTATTTACCTTTTTATAGTGAATGAAGTTATTTTTAGAAGGATAATCTTTAGAAAGGTTTCTTTAAATTGAAAAAATTTATAAATAAATTGAATATTTAAAAACATTTTCTCAAAAATGCATGCCAATTTACATTTTCTCAAGAATGCACGTCAATTTATTTAAACAGAAAGAATCTGTGGAGAGCCATGATCTCTTATGTCTTGATGAACTAAACCAAATATGTTTATTAAAAGTTGGCATTAAGATGAGATGTGGAATTTTGAAAGAGAAACAAGAAGCACCTAAATGAAGCCCAAGTTTTACATGCATACAGTTTGGAAGGTTCAGAATGCACCCACAATTGGGTATCACTGTATTTCAATATACAGCATTAACAGGTTGGTCACATGATTAACGAGAGGCCAAATATTTTACAAAGTTGTAAATTTCCAGAAACGTATCTCTGTGGATTACTTTGAATTTGTCAAAAAAACTGTTGCTAGGCATACGTTTCTCACCCTAACCTCTCTTTTACAGCTTTTTAGCTCTGGCCTTAAAATGTAGTCACATGTGGGTGAAAATTGTACCTCCATTAGGGAACATTCCTTTTCATGGTTTTCTCTCTTGACTTTTGTATTTTCTCACACACACTAGTTATGCACACACAAACAAGTGCATTCTTCTTATAGCTAGTTTTATGTTTTTTTCCTTTCATCACATGTAATTCCTTGATTTAATGTATGCATTGTCATTTGTTTTATATTTATTTTTTTGTGTTACACATTTTTTTACCCGAACTCACATTGAGTCTGCCAATATTGTTAGTAGGATAAATTTTCCAGGAACCTGTAAATATCTACTATTCAAAGTGTTGATTCCCACAACATAATGGTGACAAAATATTTACCAAAACATACAAGCATCCCGTAACATCTCCATAACCATACAGCTCCAAAACATACAAGCATCTCTGTAACATCTTCATATGAAGTGGCAAAATTTGATATCATTTCAAAGAGAAGCCTATTTACTCTCATATAAAATCAAATCATCAATTTTTAAGATATATCAGTTTGATTGCACTAACATCACTGTTATAATGTGCAGGAAGAGTGTATTGAAGTTGGGGAAAATACCTAACCAATTGCTCTCCCAGCAACAATTACAGGAGTAATAGGCAGAGAGAGAAAATAGACAAGAGGTAACAAAAATAATACTGCATCAGTAACCACATCAACTTTAGGAACACAATGCCCATAGAGGCAGACTTCACAAGACACTTGTTTTCCCAACTGCTGACTGCTGGTTTTCCCATTTCTTTTATTGGCATGATGCATCTTACAAAGACCAGATGTTGACCAATTGCAGAGAGGCCTGTATCTAGACATGCCAAGCTGTTCTGCTGCTAATGGGGAAAACCCAGATGTAGTGTGTTGACAGACATGTCCACACATGATCTGGAGCCTCTTTTTCATCTGTATCAATGTATGTTTTTTCAACTATTCTGTCAAGATTCTACAGATTTAACAACTGAAATCTTTACGGGCTGAACGGAAAAATGACAATGAGATCGATATGCTATATTGACTCAAACTTCAATATACTCTCCTTGTCAGAGGCCAGTTGTAATGTTTAGCTCAAATACTTTTCTATTTTAACTAAACCTCTTTTTATAAGGTTATTCGTCAAACAATTTAAATTGTAAATCAAAAGAAAAATCTTTAACTTTGCATCATCTCAGTTGTCCAGTTAATGCTTTTTTTCTTTAGATTTTTGTTAAAATAGACAGATCCATAATTTTGCAGGATGGGTTTGCAGGAATATTTTACAGGATGCCAGTGTGTTTAGGTAGAAATATGTCTCCTGGAATATTTATCTGGCAACAATTATGGCAGACAGTAACGCAAAACAATATAAAAAATAACAATTGCATGTATTGACAAAAAGGAATTACATGAATATACAATTACAATAAAATGAGAAAACATTTAAACTAGTTGCATAGAAAAACATTTAAACTGTAAGAGAATGTGTGTTTTTGTGTGTGAAATTTGTGTATATGTGTCTGTAAGAAATGTATTTGATAGATATGTGTGTGAGAGAGTTCAACAATCAAAATATGGAGAAAAACACATATGAGCCTAGAAGCCACGTTCCAACTGTAACATATGACTATATCCGAAAGCCAGTGTGGAAGAAAGTGAAAAGGGACTAGCGAAAGAAATGCATGCCTTTATATAGGCTTAAGGAGAGCCCCCTAGTGACAAGTTTTTTGGCAGAGTCAAGTGAGATAACCCATAAGTAACAAACAAAAACAACAAAGCATTGCCAGTTAGAAAGAAAAGAGACAAGATATGATAAAATAAAATGATCTGTATTGCCAGTATAATGGATGAAGGCAGGATGTCTCTTGTGGGCAAGGGAAGCAACCTGTAAGATTGTAGAGTTGTTGTGTGTAGGGTCAGTTGACTGGGAGACCACTTGATGAACTCTGTGACTACCTGCTTAGTACTATTGCTGAGTGGGTCCTTTTAAATAATCAGGAGGGATACATGACTTAGCGTTTTTTGTCATGCTTTTGCTTTAGTGTCAACATTCATGACTTGCCCCAATTGTTAGAGCTTATTTTATATCTTTTGAAGGATTCATTTTCTGATCTGGATGCAATGCTTGGAGCACCTGCACAGATAATGATTTTTTTCATTTTTAATTTTGCTTACATTGCATTCAAATCCAACCGATAGGTTTTGATGTGGAGTGAATCAGAAAGAGATTTAATTTGAACTGGAGTATAAAAGGTTCAAATAGAATAAATTATGAAGGTGATCAATCTTCCAGTGGGAATTTTTGTTTTTTTAAATTTATAAATGCTTAGGATTATTTGGGTTTTAATTCATAAATTTTATTTATCTATACCAGTGGCTCCCAAGCATTTTTTCTCTGAACTGCATTTTTGAAATTAAAATTTGCTTGCACCTCACCACATTTTATGTGATAAAAAGTGCATTTAAAAATAAGACAGAGACAACATTAAAGGGTGATAACTGCAGATTTTGAAGTCAGAACATTATCATTAATAACTCTCTCCTACAATTTGCAAACCCTAGTTGCTATATTCTTAATACTTGATTTAATGTAAAAATATCAAAATGATAGAATCAGTCAATAATTATTTATAACTATACTGAGACTTATGCATGTAATTACAAGTAATTCATAATAATATTTTAAAATCATATTTATTTTTAGCATAAGAACATTTTGAAACTGTTTCTAAATCTTTGAACATCTTTCAATCATTCCGGCTCACCTTCTGCTGTACCTATGTGGTGTGCCAAACTATCTTGGAACCACTGATCTATACATTTAAAAGTATTTTGTGTGTTGTCTGAGTAGAAGTGTATTCATACTGCATGCCTAAATTTACATAATCAAGTACAAATAAAAATGAATCAAGTTATTATAAAATATATTTGTGAATGACTACAAGATTTTGTGCATTTTTTTTTTTGTCTTACAGAGTGAAATGTTGACCAAACAAGAATGTGAACATGCTTATGGCATTTTGATATCTAAAATGGATCAACAATTGCAGACATTGAAGAAAAAACTGGAGTCGGAAAAGATCAAAGAAGAACAACAAAGACTCAAGCAAATTCAGGTTAACCATTTTTCTATCCATATTTACCTCCCTTGAATACGGCTACTGCTTAGCTAATGATGAAATGATTTTAAAAAAGTACATAATAATATGGTTGATAAGTGAACACATGGTTGGTAGAGGAGGAATAATTTATGATGACATCTGTTCCCACTACATATCTATGTGGCCTGCTGTAAAGTTTGAAAGAAAATGAACAGTGTTAATATTTTTTTTTAATTTCATCTTTTGTCCCTCCTACATTTTCTACACAAACTGGATGTTGACCACTCAACAACACAATGCAGAAAAATAAATACATTTTCTGCCCATTGACTCAACATATACATCAACTTTAACTAAAACAAAATTAATAATATATTATGACCAGTCACTCCTGTTCAAAAACAAAACTTTAATTTCATGCTGACTAAAAACTATATATATATATATATATATATATATATATATATATATATATATATATCAATATTCAAACAGACCTGGCACAGCCCAGTGTTTGATGCCAACACACTGAGAAAGAGATGTCACTGACAATGGCCACTAGCAAGTGTTCATTTCACTTCTAATTTCATCATTCTCTCTCCCTGTTGCCTTATCAACAGTTACCCGTCTTTGTATATATGTAAATAAATTATACTTTTATTTACCCCTACTCAATGTCCTCTTTGCTTGATTCTTGGCTTTACATTTGCAGAGGCAGAGACGGAATTAACCTCCAAAACAGTAACAAGGTTATGTCTTCCAAGTTAGCCATTTCTGCCTCTGCAGCATATTCCGTGAAAGGCAGTAAAGCCACTAAGACACAAGAGAAAAAAGAGAAACATTAGGGAGCAAGAATAGAAGAATAAAATCTAAGCTCATAAAAAAGAATTATTCTTACAATTCAAAATATATTTTGGCTTTAAACCCACAAAGGATTGATAAAAAAACAAATCAATCAACTTGAGGCCATATTATGCCCTGTTCTCAGCCACACTCTGGCTAATTTGTATTGCCATGGATGACAGAATGACAATTACAATTATGGTAGTTTTTACTCTCTCTCTTTAAAATGTATCTCATGGAAAACACAACAAAAAGAAATACAAATAAACCAGCAAACAAAAATCCACCTACCCACCTCAACCTTTCTTTCTCTAATATTCATGGTATCTGTTTCTCTTGGAACGGTCGCCAGCTATCTTTGTCCTTTGTGAAACCAATTGAAATTCATTTGTTGGTACTAATGAATTCTTGGTTCCAGGCTATCTTCCCCTTTGCCAAAAAGATTCCAGCATTCACAGCTACTAAGAAAGTTGGTTCACTGTGTTGTGGGAAACAATTTTTCTTTCCAGAATCTATCTTACATATCTATGTCTACTATTTGTCCATGCTTAGAATATAGCTGCCACATATGGCTCAGTGCTTCTGCTATTTACCTAGTTCCTTGATAAAATCCAAAGAAGAATCAGCAATATTATTGGTCCTGATCTGGTGGTTCAGCTTCAGTTACTTTCCCACTGCTGTAAGGTTGCTTCTTTGTCTTTTCTATAAATACTTTTATGGTAATTGTTCATATGAGCTCTTCGCTATGGTACCTAGAATTTTTTTGAATTTAAGTGCAGTACTAGACTGGCATCAAGTTCTCATCAACTTACATTTGAGCTGGCTAGATGTAACCATAAATTCTATGCTAACAGTTTCTTTTCTTACTTGTGGAACTCCATGCTTTCCAACTAATTTTAATTCGCAAAAATTTAAATGCAATGTCAGTTAATATCTACTGTACTCCTGATTACTCTTTTCATTCCTATGTTAGTTTCTGTTCATAATTCTTCCACACCTTGTATCCCCTTGTGTCTTAGTGACTTTACTGCCTTGCATGATGTGATACTGATTTTAAAAAAAATTGATTGTCATGTTTTAATGAAATTTACCAAAGAGTAATTTCTTTGAAACATGCTTTTCATATGAAGATTGAAATAATAAGATTTTTGACCTTTCATATGTTTCAGTTAAGTCTTAGCATTTCTTGAATAGACAGTGTTTAAAAAAATCTATGACTATAATAAATTGAATTTCAAAGAAATAATTTCATAAGCTCCCAATCATTTTCAAAAAATATTTGAAGCGAAAAGTTTAATTGCTAAAAAACCAAATGTCATCTTTTTTTTTTTTTTGGTTATTTGAATTTTGTAAACATTTATAAAAAGGATTTATGCATTTTGCATAATAGTTATCAACTAAAAATGGGACTGGTGAGCTGAGTTCAAATTCTGATCAAGTCTACTGCATTCACTTTCCACTAATATCTTGGGAAAGACATGAATCTGTCCATTATCTCCTCACGGATATGGGTTAAACAGCAAGGTAGATTGTGCTCTTTAGCCTTAGGTAGCAGCAAGTCTAGAAGGAGGACAATTCATAATACAAATCCATGAAGAATCATTCTACAAGCCTTTTTTTCTCAAGAAGACATAGCAATTTCCAGACAATAAAGAAAAGGAAACTCTGGAGAGTGATGGTTGTGCTTATGTTCATAAGAAGACATGGCATAAAAAAAATTATAAATAAAAAATTCTTTTATTTTGGATGCTTTACAAATAAATGTAAACAATATTGGACAAAATGATTAAATTCATTACTAAAACATCACATACAAAATGTGTTATTTTTTATTTTTAAAAGAAAATTACCTTAAACGGCTTCTTAGCAATACATATAAAAACAGATGATGCTAGTTGTATTTTTCCACTCAGTATGTTCTTGAGATACATTTTTATAAAGGGCTGGCCTTGCAAAAACATCCTGTATGACACAAGAGAAAAGACATGACATGAACACTCTCTTAATCAGAAGGGGACCAATATGCATGACATGCCAGGAAGGGGACACATTAAGCCATATACTAGCATCAATCCAGATAACATTTTTAAATTCTTAAAACAAACACACCTATTTGCCAAAATTAGAAAAAACTTTTAACTTTTAATACAAATACAGTTTATGAATACAAAAAGTAAATACTACTTGTGACGACTATAATGTTACAAAAAAAACTTAATTTCACTACATAATACGGAAATATAAAATCCCAACTCTACTTGCTTTGGCATTAGATGACTCACTAGGAGTTTTAATGCCATTAAACAAAACAAAAAATATCAGAAGAAAGACGGAACTGGTTAACAGAGTTATCATCATTTACACTGTTTACATGCACACTAGTGTCTTCATAACACATTTACAAACCAACACTTTAATCCACTAAGCTAGTGACATAGTAATTGTAATTTCAATACCTGGTCTGGGCAGTGTGTACTTAGACTCAATAAAAAATCAGCATTAGCAATAACTGAGGAGTATTAAAAATAAGAACTAGTCTAGATATGGGAAGTGGACTGAAAACCATCTACTCCTGTCGACTGTAGCTGAGATCAAATTCCATGTGAATAATCGAACTCAACTGGAATTTGAAATCATTTCTCCAACTCCTCAATCCAAGCTGCAATCAATTACTCTATCATGCCTCCGTATCCCTGTAAATTAAATAAATAGTTCAGAATTTACTGTAGATTATCTGAATTGAAAAACACCTGAAGAAGGCTAGAGGGAACAACAGCCAAAACACTGTAATAACAACAACAAAGATGAGGACAATAGTCCATATATAATTAATGGAAATATCCCAGAAATTCAGACAGAAACAAAATTATTGTTGTAGATTTATAAAAGCTACAAACATTTCTTGATGTATTTTATTCAAGAGAAAATTAACTTTTTGTTTGGTGTATCATTTACTCTGAACACATACATTTCATAATAATAATTCAAGATACATACATACAAATATGATCCATATAATATATCATATATATATATACATTTCATAATATTGTGAAATGAAATAACTGAATATATTATTTTTTTAGTTTTTAAAGGTGATGCATTTTTCTGTTACAATTGGTATGACAAGTAATTATTGATATGTAAATTAAATCTTTTTGTACTAATGTTTTGCAGTGACTAATACGTCTTAGTGTTTTGACCTTGACTTGGTATTATATAAATATAAATAGATATAATAATTCTGTTATTTTTTCAACTACTAATTCCCCCTAGTGGAGAGAAAGAACAAAATAAAACCAAATTATAGAACAGAGTGCTTTATCTTTTTATCTTTATTTACAACAAGCAGTTTCTGTAACTTAGTAATGGGGCAAGAAAAGTATGTTTTGTTCAAAATGATTTATTTTAACTTAGAATTTATAACATTGACAGAAATCAGTGTTAGTTAAACATGCATTACAAAGTTATCATTTTGTTAGCATTCTGAAGTTAAAGTTTTGTTTTGTTTTTTTTTCATTTCCAGGAGGCAATGGAATTGGAAAAGAAGAAGAAATTAGAAGAAGAAAAACGAAAGAAGGAAGAAGAAGAACAAAAACGCCTGTAAGTTCTCCCAGATTTTTTAATTCCTGAGTCTTTGAAAAGTGGGACAAAGAAAATTTAATGCATTACTCAAAATAACTGTTATAAGAATGTTGTAAACAGTTACAGAATGCTGGGATCAAAACAGATCCAGCAGCCAGTTTGAACAAAAAGTTGTTAAGTTTACCATATCATCTTTGGCTGCTGAAAAGTCAAAGTAACACAGTCTCATATATCTTTCCATACTAAGCCCAATGGAACAATAATCAAGTGTCTATAGTCTGTTTTTTTTTTTTTTCGTTATTCATAAAAAGTAAAATAAATTTGGAAGTTAAGCAACAATTCCATATTGCAGTAGTTGCTCTGAAAAATGCCCAAGATCTTTGCATTTTTAAATAGCAATATAAATGTATCTATTTTAAGGAAACAAAGCTGAGATTTTATTTTTCCAAAAGTCTTAACAAATTATAGAAATAATCACATTTAATTTGTACTTATTAAAATTTAATTAATCATTTTTTTTTTGATTTTGATTCTGATGTAAAACTGATCTAAATAGTGAATTACCTGAATGATTCATTATGACTTTTTAGCAAAATGGAGATTGAAGCTAAAAGAAAGAAAGAGGAAGAAGACAGAATCCTGCAAGAAAAAGCTAACCAGGCTGCTGCTGTAAGTTATTTTACCAAAATGTCTGCACAGATACCACTACAGAGTGAGACATTAGTTTACAAATTTTAATATATATGTTTCCTTGTGTTCTCTCTGTACAGAACATATGCAATTCTGACTCTTCACAATTTCTTATTCTTTATAACTCTTGAAAATCTTTGTCTTTTTACTATACGTCCTATTTCCTGTTCTGCTACCTATTTACTCAAGCTTGTTAGGGATGTTACTGGCTGGTTCCCTCTGCCCCACACCTCAATCTTCAGTATATCTTGTGAGTATTAAATATGCCAGGCCTTCTTTCCTTATTGTATATCCCTGAAATTTGAGCTGTCCCTTTCTGATTCTAAGTGTTGTTTTCGTTTCCATTTTCTTTAAAACTTCCTTGTTACTCACAGGATCCATCTATGGTATTCTTAGCATCCTTCTGTAGAACCACATTTCTGTTGTTTCAAGTTTCTTCTTCATCTGTGATGAGCTTGTCCAGAATTCATTGCCATATAGGATTAATATTACATAGCAGTTCAGTACTGTTTTCTTTGTTTCTAAGAAAATTTTCCTGTTTCTTAATACTATGTTTAGTTTTTGAAAGGCATCCTTCACTATTTAAATGTACCTTCAGATTTGTCACATTTCTATCATCTACTATAACATTTCCTTGATAGTTCAATTTCTGATATCTACAACACCACATGCACACATATATGCCAAATTACATAGACAAACAGCAAAATTTCAGTAAAACAAGTTTTAGCAATCTTAGACTTTCATGACCACAAAAACAGTTTTTCCCTTGACTCAGTTTTAAACAAATTAATAGAGAATGTGCTTTCCCTTTCTTTGTATCTGTTATTATTTCTTTGATTATCTTATTTATTAGCTTCTTTTGATCATAAACATTCACATGCAACATTAATAAACGTTTTGTTTGCTCAATTCTGGGAATTTTACTAAACCTTTCTAATAATTTGGCATGTTCAAATCACCGCGCTAATAACAAATATGGCGCCAGTTTGTTTACATTGCGCAGATCAGTACAAAAATTTCAGTGATTGCGCAGGCCAGTGTTGCAAACATTGTGTGAATTGATTGGACGGTTTTTGAAATATTAGAAAAATAGTTATCTCGATAATAATTTGGCACGCAGTGTAACGTGTCCCACTTAAAAATACCGGAAGTCAATCCTGATTGGCATATACCTGAAGAAGGCTGGAGGGTTTAATGGCTGAAAAGTTGTGATAGCAACAAAGATGAGGTTATTAGTCCAATTTAAATTTTAATAGTTACAGGGAAAAAAAATTGGCATATGATATAAGAAAATTTTCTTCCTTCAGAAAAGTTTTTTTTGTTTGAATTTCTGCGACCATTATTTACATGCAGACTATTATCCTCATCTTTGTTATCACAATATTTCAGATGCTATTCTCTCTGGCCTTCAAATTCAGGGAATTTTGAACATTCCACTGACCATTTCTAGGAATTTTTTAAATTTCATTTTTTATTTATTTTTTGTACTCTAATGCTGTTCAGAAGTGATTGTCACATAAGACATGTAGCACTGAATGAATTCAGTGGAGTCATTCTTGCTTAACTTTGAAATTTCCATAATTAGGAACCGGTTTCCAATGAATGCCTTTGTTTGTCTTTTAGGTAGCATTGGAGGCTGAACGCAAAAAAGATGCTGTGGAGATTGCTAAACGCCAACAAATGTTGGAACAGGAACACCGCGACCGAGAACTCGCTCTCCGTCTGGCTATGGAGGACCAAAACCAGGTCGATGATGTGGTCATACCTCCACTTGCGAGATCAGCTGCAGTGATGGCCCAACGCCAGGCAGCCGCGCAGAAGAAGTATGATTTATCCAAATGGAAGTATGCAGAACTCCGTGATGCCATCAACACATCATGTGGTAAGCAGGAACTTACATGCATAGATTCCTAGTGACAAATTCATGTCTCTTTTTGTTTAGTTTTCACAAATAACAGAAACTTCAGCATAAATCTGCATAATTCAGCTCTGTTTTTGCTTTAAGATCCCCGACCCTCAGTGGTAAAAAAGCATCTTCAGTTATTACTATGGTCTTTGCTTATACTTATTTCTCCTTCCTCCTTCATCGTTTTTCCTCTTTACTATTTCTACCATTCCCTCTCTCTCTCTATTTTATACATATATATATATATATATATATAAGATTAATGTGAATAAATGTTTGTCCCTTAGCTGATTGATATTACCTTCAGCATTCCGACTCCAGAGTTTCATAAGCAGACATGTCTGTCCTCTCTTCAGTGCATATCAGCAATATATATATATATATATATATATATATATAAACAAACAGTATTTAGAAAAATATTATGACAAATTGTGAAAAAGTTTTTATGATGCATTTTACCCATTATGATTTCATCGGACTGGACTTTGTTGATGTTGCCACATCTACACATGTGCACAAAATGAGAGATGCTGGTAATTCCAAAATTTTTGAATTCCCATCATAACAAAATAAAATCTGGAATGATCATTGGATTCTATTTAAGAGCAATCAGAATTTGCAGACTTCAATATTTGCACAAAAGTATTTTCAATACATTTCTCTTCTTCAAGACCCTATTTCATATTCAATGTGAAACAAAAGGCTCATAAAATATTCCAAAATAGAAGAGCTGTCCTTCCTGACAAACCCAATGAATCAAAAATATATCTTTTTCTACCCACTAACTCTATCACAACTATAGCTGAAAAGAGGCTAAACTTAATATAAAATTTGTCACGACTATATCTAAAATGGAGACATAAGCAATAAAAAACAAAACAGGCCCAAACTTGAAGGAGAAATTTATTCTATCAAGTGCAGGAATTGCCAGAAAGAATACATTGGAGAAATTTCAAGTGGTTTAACCAAAAGACTATATAAACACAAAAGGGACATTTTAAAAAACAACACACAAAATGCATTGATTTTTCATGGTAATGAAACTGACCACAATTTTTACATAGGGCATGCTACTTTGATTACAAGAGAAAATAATCCACTAAGACAAAAATATCTGGAAAGTGCCCTTGATCACTAGTTCAGCCACAGTAAATCTGTGCCCAGACTCTTATAATATATCACCATTCTTGGTATATTTTCTGTTGTCACAATGTGGGATTGTCAGAGACAAAGGTGATGGAGAGAAAAGATGTATTTGGCTAGACTGAAAAAATATTCTTTCAAAAATTTGGAAACTACCAGCATCTTTAGTTTCATGTGCATGTGTAGACATGACAACATCAACAAAGCCCAGTCCAATAAAATCCTTCCTGTTCAGTCTGGATAACCCTTACTCTAGGCTGAGCAGCAAAGTTGGGGACAAGAAAGCCTTAAAAAATAAAATCAGATAATTATAAGATTTTATTGAACATTTCAAAAATTATTTAATTAATTATTTGGTAAATAATTATTTTTTAATTTTTTTTTTAAATTTCAAAGTAGAAATATTTTAAAATCTGTCATTGAATTAAAATATACATGTGCAAACACAATTTGAATGAAATTGAAATAGACATCTGTTTGTTGATCATTGAGTTCTTTTTGTCTGAAAACAAGCCTGGGTAACAGGAAAAATCTATAAACCAAAATGTCTGGCCCTTTGGTCTTTTTATGGCTCTTTCTTGTATTTAAATTGAATATATTTTTAAATAAAAATTTTAAATGGATAAACCATTTAGATTTAGAAGTTGATCATCTTGCCCTCAGTGAAATGACATGTACCAAACTAGTAATAATAATAATAATTTATAATTATAAATTTTATAGAATTTTTGTTATAGATAAAAACTGAATTAGTGTAATAGACTACCTAGGTAGTATATAATAAAACATTTGACCAAGAACTTACTAAGCAGAATCAATGATGATGTAATATTTTGAAGTTTGGTGATATGTAAAGGTGAAAAAGTATAGAGTCTGATTAAACTTGGTCAGTAATGAAGTGGTTGACTGATACAACAGTTAATCACAAGTGCATAAGAGAAGGTTTTAACACAGTTATTTTAACTTTCCTTACACTAGCAGCTAACAAAAAGGGTACAAAAAAAGTCATAAATGGTCACCTATAAGCATCTTTAAAGAGAATGCAAAGGAGAGTGAGAGATTAAATACCTCTCACTCTCCTTTACATTCTCCTTTACTATTAGAAAAGAAACAAATAAATACATTGAGGTGAAATTTGAACTTACATCTTTTTCCCTTAATACCTACACTTTTTTGTTTTTTTTTAGATCTGGAGTTGTTGGAGGCTTGTCGTGAGGAATTTCACAGACGGCTTAAGGTTTATCATGCTTGGAAATCCAAAAACAAGAAACGAGATGACAACTCACAGAGAGCGCCTGATGCTATAATTGAAGGTAAGAGTTTTATAAGAATATTTTCAGTGAGGGTCAAAACTTTCATATGACCGTTTGTTTTTGTTTATCACTGGCAAAGATCATTTCTTTTCATATCATCACATACTTAGAGCACAATCTAGAAATGTCATGGTTATTAGAAACTGTCTCCCCAAGCTCTAATTCTGCTGAATGTTTAGAACTGGTAAAAGAACTACATCAATCCAGAAAGATCATGTAGACACCAACATCAAGTCATTATAAACCTCACCAGGAGTGTAACAAGGAGTAAATGAGAATCCGATTCTATTTGATCTCTTCCTAGATTATGCTCAATGTATTTTTTTTTTTTTTTGTCAATTCACCCCAAATAAAGCGATAATGCCACTAAGATGCAAGGATCAACTGGAAACCTAATCCTAAACAGGAAACAAGGGTCAAACCTCTACTCATGTTCAAAAGACTGGGAAGGAGTGTAAACCGGACGATAGATGAACCTATCTACTCTTATTGAGAAAAATAAGTAAAAAGTAAATAAAATTTCAGAGTTTAGGCAAAGATATTAGAAGTATAGAGTTGAAGTAGAATTTGGAAGGAACTGGAAATCAAATCCTAAATAGGAAACAAGGGTCAAATCTCTACTCCTGTTCAAAAGACTGAGGAGGAGTGTGAACTGGATGATAGGTGAAATTTAAAGATGTGAAAAGATGGGTACTGATCATTTAAGTATTGCATACTACATCCAAATCAAATCTAATATAAGACAGTGTTCTTGTTTTCCCTCCCAAGGCCAGTGTACTGATGATGAGGTGGGGGGGGTGCTATGCTGATGATATAGATATTCTAAGTTGGGATAAGAATGAACAAAAAGAATATGTTCTACTGGTTGTTCCAATAGGTAGGATTTAAGATGAAACTTTCCAAACAGAAACTGTGATCCGGAATCAGAATGTGAAAGCAGTGGTGACATCTACCCTGAATCCATCATAAAAATTTAGGATGCTAAACACTTCAAATATCTGTGGATAAATCAGTTATTAGCAAATTTAGCATTGGTGATAAAGAAATTGAACATAGAATATACTGCACAAGAGGTTGTTTTGCTCAATACTGCAAATTGCTATTTGTTTATATTTCTGAGATGAGGTATTGTAACTATTTATAATATTTACATTGTTCAGACTTTTGTCCTCATTTTTATTGCCATATTTATGATGTTTTGGTTATTGTACACTCCTCTGGCTTTCTTCAGGTGATATACATTGGAATTTCAAACTGAACTCTTTATTTAATTCACAGGGGTAGATTGTTCTAATTCGACATGCCATGCCTTTTTTTTTTTTTTTATCTCTCAATATCAGTTAATTCCCAAGGACACATAAAAGTATTGGTTGAGTAATTCAAATAATGACTTGACCCAAAGAGTTGTGATTTCAATACCTGGCCACAGCAGAGGAAAACAAAAGAACTATCCAAAATAATTCAATTCCTGAAAGAACCAGATTTTACACTAAAATATAATCTCAAAATCTGAAATATATTATTTTCCTACACTAGTTGTAAAACTTTCTACCCAAATTGTGACTTAACCCCTAAATTCTTCCCTTTTTTCTTCAGTTTCATATTCCAACCCTTCATGTCCAACATTAAATAGTTCCAGCATTAAATAACATACATAAGAGTTGAGATGTCCATAAACAAAACAAACATATCATGGTATACTGTACTAATATACATTTATTATATTTTCTGTTATGTGTGTTATTTAGTTTGGATACTCTGCAATACAAACTAATCAGAGCAAAAATTGGGAGTAGCCATGAGAAATTGCCATCAGTGTCCTTATTTCTTTTCAGTAAATAGTAATTTCCTATTTTTCCCAAAATGAACCAGTAGAGCCAGGCAACAATTCTATAACAATGAAGAAGTGAAAGTGTTAAAAGAAAATTTTAGACATATCTAATTTTAAAAAAATTAGAAAATTTAAAGAAATCTTGTACAAGTTCATCAATAAGTCAAATGAAAAAAAAAGCATTTATTTCATACAACAAATATTCTCCAACATAATCTCTTTCCTTGTCAATTCACTTGATTCAGCAGTGATTGTTAAATGTGTGGATCTAACAGTTCCAGGAAAATTTCAGATCAAAATTCAACTGTATCTGGCGAGAGTTTCCTTGATCCACATTTGTAAAATTTAAATATATTTAAGCATTATTAAATCTTAAAGACAAGCATAATTTATTTAATATTCTATAAAATACAATTTTGTACTGCACTGTCAGTGGGGCTTGGAATATACATTGTTACTTCCACAAAATGCTCTGACAAACTACATTCTTTAGTTCTTGCAGGTCTAACCTTCATAGCTAGGACCTGCCATACCACACAGATAGTAGCGAACCACTGCTCTGTGGAACAGACACTTAAAATGTTGTTTTTCCAATCACTACAATCTTAACCTGTTCAAGTCTAGAGGTAATCATTATCTCTTAGCCATATAAACCACCCCTTAATGTAATCCTCTACCTCAAGTGAACCCCCAGGTCTTGTACAGCATGAACCTTACTGTAAAAAACAAAACAAAACAAAAAAAACTACATTTCCTGCAGAAAAGTAAGATCACCCCATAAAAGGGTCCATTTTCAGATTCTTGCAGAATTTTCTATAAACCTGGCTAATGCCCAACTGTAGACTCAGCTCCAAACCTGGTCAATGCGCAACTGTAAATTCTTGAGTCCTGCAGGAAAAAATGTTCAATATTTGTTGCATTTTAGGTTTGCTTAAAATCCTCAAAATTTATTTTCATCCATTTTATCTCATTTTTGCACTTCTCTTCATTTTAGAATTTCTACCTTCTGTTACAGGTGAGATGTTTTAATTTTTTGTCATCTTTTTTTCTTCCACTCATATTCTTCAACTCTTCTGTAACATTAATACTTACTCACTCTCTCCTGATATATATATATATATATATATATATATATATATATATATATATATTAAAATTAATTGATTTAAAATATGTTTTTTTTAAATCAATTAATTTATAATATTAATGCTCTGTAAATTTACATTGAGCACTATTTTGTAAAAATAAAAATATCTATAAGAACACTGGATTATATATCTTACTGTTCTTTCTTTTTATTTAAATACACACATATATATATATATATATATATATATATATAAAAGCAATGAAATGAAAATGTTCTGAAATTTTGAGAAAACAAAAAACAAACTTATTTTTGTATTTTTTCTCTTTTTTTTTTTAAATGATACAATGTGTCTCTGAAGTTGTTTTTGCTTTTACAGTCTTCTGTTTTATGTTGTAGTGAAAATGGAAGGCATAAAGTAGTTCAAAAGAAACACTGAGTTGACTGCATTCAATTTAATAATAAAACTAGTAAAGAAGGGAAAAATATGTGAATATACATTGTGCAGGTGCCATGTTAACAAACGTTGGAGCACAAGCAAGCAAATAATCCTTATCAAGAACAGTGTTTTGCAACCAAATGATAATAACCTTTTTTCAAGAGGTCATTATGGATTCATAAATTTTATGCTTAACATCAAGTAATGTTCATCTTATAAAAAAAAAAATTTATATTGCATCATTTTGCCTTTCTATTTTTATAACTGTTACATTTTTAAAAGTAAACAATCTTATGTAAGTGATCATGAATCATCACAGCTTCCTTTAATATTAATACACTGTGCATTGCCAGAATTGTTTCTTGGGAAAGATAATAGCATATTTTCCCATTTTTAATTCAGAGCTGCTCTTCTTCTGGATTAAATGCTATAAATATTTTTCTAGGAAATAACTACTTACAAAATACTAATAATACAACTGAAAAAATGTGAAATTTATGAAAATTTTACAACTTCTTTCAGGTGAGCAGAACTTCTGTCAAAAAAAGAAGTTATAATATTCAATAAATCAAGAAAAATTCAAGTCACTTATCTGGTTGACCAACTCAATATTTTTGCATTAAAACACTCATTAGGGTCAGATGTTAGATAATATTCAAAAGTTTGAATATTACATATATGATACTTAGAAATTTGCAATGAAAAAAATTTATATGTATTTTATAGAGAGTCATATATTTATAGTCAGTCATTTCAGAGTCTGACCATCACTGACACTGATTTTTTCCAAATATAGTACACTTATAGAGCTTCATGATAGAAAGTGAGTAGTATCTATTTTACATCTCTAGGTCAAAGGGTTCCCAAGATATAACCATTTGTGCCTTGCAAAATAGTCACAAAGTTTAAATATCAATATCTCAGTTGTTTTTTTCACCCACAAAGCGAAATTATATAGTGTTTTAAAGTACTTGGATGGATTTAAAAGGTGATTTACTTATTTTTTTTTGTTTAAATGTCAAATAAGATAATTTGACCATGACTTTAACCCTTAATTTCTCAAAAAACAGTTCGTAAATTTTTTTTTTTTAAATTTGACAACAAATTTATCTGCTTTATGGCAAGATATGTACAAAATTTTGTAGTGGGATTTTGACAGTGGCCTGAGTTACAAGGGTTTTACTGTTTTGTGCCAAATTAAAAATAAAATAACATAAATTCTGTTGATTTTATGATCATAGTTCTTATGTGAATATTAATCAGCATTCAAAGAACTTCTAAAGATATACAATTTGACCATATTGGGGGATATAAAAATGTTAGTTTTTAGATTTTAATTAAATCTTCAAAATATATTTAATGGGTTTTTCTCCACTGACTGAAAAGAAAAAAGAATAAATTGTAATAAGTGTTCTAAAAAGAAGAAAAACAATTTTGTACACTTGTAAAATTCTGTAGCTTAATAAATGTTTTTATTTATCAATAAAAAAAATCTCTAAATGACAAATGTGGAAATGAAGTAAAGAATCAATTAAAAACTGCTATTTTTCATCTCTTTAACTAACTCTTCTCCATATTCTTTCATTCTGTCTTAAAAATAAACATGATTTTTTTAAATGCATTTCGATAAAGTGTTTCATGTTGTGCTTCAGTACAATGGGTCAAATAATTTCTGCTATTTAAAAATTTTGTTCTTGTAAATGCAAGGGGTGCTGAAAACTTTTCAACTAGATCCACTTCCCAAAATATAACCAAACATTGATTTTTTTAAGGTTTTTTGGTGAGTCTGAGAACTTTTCAGTACCACTTGTGTATGATGTTTGCTATATAATGATGCTGAAAAACTAATATTTTATTTAAAGAAATTAATGAAAACTTTTTATACTTGTAAAATTCAACTATTGTAGTTACTTGTTTTGCAAACTTCTTCGGCATTTGCCTCTAAATTTCAATATCTTATTTAACCCACTTCATTTGATGATCTGTGCCTTTACATATTTTCAGAGAAATTATACTTTTTACTAATAATTTTCAAAAGAGTATTGAATACATTTTTTTTTTAAATTTTTGCATGTGCTAAAATTTTAAATAAACTCTATATAGGAACTAAAAAAGAGAAAGGAAAAAACCTGATAAAGAATTATCTCCTTTTAAATATTATCAATGATCCTAATAAATTTGTCTAAAATCAATAATCCTAAAAAATGTACCTAAAATATTTGTAGCAAAGATAAAATATAAACAAAAAATAAATTTAAAATACTGTCTTAAAATAGTTTTAAGTTTAAGTTTTCCACAGTTCCACTCATATTCTTCCCCAGAACTGCTACTTTGTGATCCTGGGTATGAGTTGAAACTACATCTAGTGGTGAGGATCCTGAATGGGGGCTTTGGGAGTGTGAAGCCACCCCTTAGTTTCCATTGCTCCCAGGTCCAACTATGGGTTAAATAGAATTTGTATCTACAAAACATTTGTCTATGAAACAAGATTGCCTTCTAAGCAAATATCTATGGAGCAGAATTGTCAACTGTCTACAAACTATTTACCTGGTATACAAACAACTATACACCCCCCCCCAAAATATATCCTGTAAATAAATAGACTATAAATTTTAATGCTAACAAATCATATGACCACAAAACAACATTATTCATTCACCTACAAAATTGAAACAACTGACCTGTGTGTGATATTAAACTGTACAAGACAGAAACCTCCTAAAAATTAAAAGCAATTGTAGTTTCCCAAATCATTTCATTAGAGACCCTACAAATGGATCCAAAACAACCAAAGATTGTCAATTCACACCAATGGGGCTACCTATTTGTCATGGGTGGCAACCCATGATGTCCTGGGACAGAGTCCTAGTGGCTGGATGACCCCTTACCTGCAAGTGGCCAGGAATCCCACAACACTCCACTTTGGTCCCAACTGGAGCTAAACTGGCAGATGGAATAGCCCAATCCAATCTGTTAGTGACCTAGTGGCAAGGGCTAGTTGAGCTGAGAGAGAATGGTTATGACACAGCTGCAAGTTTTTACGCCACAATATACTTGGGTAACGATGGTGAGGGAATGTGGGTGCTCATTGTCACTTCCAGTCCAACTATACTGTTGGTGCAGCCCTGATAGGAACTCTGAAGTGGATGGGGAGCACAGATGGCAAAACAAAAAATTAATAACTTTATAGTAAATATTTATAAAAGAATCAAGAAAAGATATGAAACCTCGAAACTGACTGTGAAAATGGAAAACCAGAAACAACCCCCCCCCCTATTTTCATCATCATAGAAACTACAGAGGACCAATCCATTATAAATGCTATGGGGGCATCCTGGCTCCTGTGCTATATGACAATGCCATTCCATCCTCAGTCACTGGTGTGTTATTGAATCTTGCAGCTAACTGTGTGAGGATAAAATTGTCTCCAGATATCACTGGATTGGTGTCCTTCAAGTGGGACAATGTTATAAGACAAAAAAAAAGAAAGTTGTGTAAATCAACAAGGTTTATATAACTGAGGTTTATACAAGAACACTTTTTCGTATAAGAATCTACAAGCATGCAGGCTAACAACCAATCCCTCATAGTCTAATTTCATGACACTGTTCTTCACTTCCAAGTTGGAGTCAAGATTTCTTCAAGCAGAAAATTATGGAATGCTGATGAGGCACTCATCTCCTGCTCTCTCTCCCTCTGTCATTATATAGAGGCTTTCAATTCTTCTACTTTGCAATTTCATCAGGACACTATGTTCAATTTATCAAGGAACAAGGCATGAATCAAGAGTTCTTTGTGGCAGCAAATCATATGGTGTAATTTCTTCTCACTTTCTGCATGGTTATTTATGGAGTCAAACTTCCAAAAACTGGGTTGGGGTTGGCTTGTTTTAGGATGTCTTCAAATCTCCTGTCACTCAATCAAATCTCTCCACTGGTACTGCTGGGTGGCCCTTGTATGGCCAAATATGGGGAGCTCCCCCTGCACCAGTGGGGGTAAGGCATTAGCAACATGTCAATCTGCCATCTTGTTCTACCCCTTCTCTTGCTTGCACCAGTACATTTCAGTGGATGTATTCATTTTCCTCCCACTTCGTCATATCAACTCATCACACTGTCACCATCCAGGAATTAGGTTTTTCACTGGGAACTCCTGACATAAAACAGATGTTATTTGTAATGTCACCATAAAATTATTATTTGAATTCCTTTATCACATTTGGTCTCTAACTGTTCCCTGTTTTTCACACTTTACCAAAATTTTCTGGCATGAGAAAATCTTGTTCTTTTAGCAATATGCATATCCTCCACCACTATCAACAAGTGACATAGAATCATTTCTTTACCCTTTTCCACACCTACCTGTAGCCATAAAATTATTATCTGTAACTAGCCTGGTGACCTGTCAAAAACCACACTCCCCTCACATCATTTCCCGGGCTTCACTTTAACCAGATGTCCAAGTGGATTTTAGCACTATCTTCTAGCAA